GTCACTTTCAGACAGTTATCCTAATTCTATTACCTCCCAGCTCCTTGGATCCTTCACTGGAAATGGCCTTGGCTCTATACAACACTACTTAGCAGGCAACTGTAAACACTGGTGTGTTACCAACATTTTTTTCCTAGAACCAAAACATAGCATCATACCAGACACTGTGAAGAAAACAATTCTATTTCAGATCAGACTAATACACGAGGATATTGTGTTGCCATTATTGCTGTTTCCTCTCATCCTTTGCCTTTCTGTCTTCACCCCCAGCTCCACATAAATGCTGTCAAGGAAGACACTACTCTAAGACACATCAGAACGTGAACATTATGAACACCTCTTAGTCAATTAGGGCCCCTTTACAGTCCTATAACTTCTTTTCAGGGAAGAATGGCTTTGAGTGAGAAGACAAACGCAGTCAGATAGCATAACTCAGACTCAATAAAACTATCTCTGGTCAGGAAAGTCTTAAAATCTAGCAACACTGAGAAATCTTGATGCATCCTAGTTCTTTTGACAGTAAGAATAAGCTTTTTGGAGAGAAATATAATTTTGTTAGCTTTTGGGAAACACACCACCGTGATCCTGATTCAAGCATCCACATGTTGCTCACCACAAACTACTGATAACTACTGATGCTCTGTACCTAAATAGTCCTTCAGTTACTGCTCACATTGCTCTTTTCCTTGACACTTCACTGTTTCATTGCTTCAAATTCTGCTTCAACACAGCTGTGATTAGCCAGTGACTACACACTATTTTTCTTGCACTATTACATTATTTTTTTTTTTCAACAGAGGGAAGTGGGCAATGTTGGCACATGTTTGCCATTAGACATAGCACTGGGAACAATTTATTTGAGAGCAGTAGAGTTCAAGGTCACCATAAGACAAACTCATCCCTGTGTTTGGAAGTTAACTTCATTTCAGTCCTTTTAAGTACTCTTTACTTCAAAGACTACTTGAAAAGCAGACTTATTTCCATTAATGGTGCAGGACAGTATTAAAATCCTGAATGCTTGCTCTTGCCAGGAGTTCTATATAGGGTAATATCTGCTGCTCAGCTCCACCAAAACTGAAAATGCAGTGTTAACTCATAAGCATTGTATATATGAGCTATAAGTTTGTATGTGCCAGGCTAGTCTGAAAACTAGCAGATCTACTTATGATGCTCTTGGTTCTACCATCCATTAATCCAAGGAAACAAGTGGTGTTATGCACTGTGCTGATGACTTACATGCTCTTGGGCATACTGCCTAGAATTGTATTTGTGAAGTCATTCAGGGCAGGTAACTACTAGATTTACTGAGTGTGGATACCCCAACATCTCTCAAAAATACATCCTCTACTTTTTATGTGCTTAAAGTTATCTGATGCTACCACACCTGAGACAGCAACTTCAATTAGAATGACTGATAAGGAAAGAATCCAGTTTTGTTGCTGATCCCACATCACAAACAGACTGCATCTAGAGGCTGATTAACAGTATGGCAAATTTTTGTAGGTGTTAAAAGGACTTCTGGAAACTCCAGTTAGCTTGAACAGTGATGCAACATGCATATGAGATCCTTCAAAGCAACAACACACTCTGGACTAAGTGTTTAACCATGTAATGCTAAAATGCATCACTGGTCACTAACATGTTTTCAGAGAAAGATTACTTTGGTAGGATAGCCACAAGCCAAGTTCACTTGTGGCTATCAGTGTGACAATCTAACTTGATTCATTGCAATTGAAGTAATCTTTTTCTCCTGGGATCTAGGATAATCAAGTATCACACAGCCAGTGCAATTAGATTTTGATCTTCGTACAACCTCACCTTCGAGCTCTGAGAAAAAAAAAAAAAAACAACCCATATTCTGCCAATGTTTGTGTTTTACAATTATTTTCTGCTCAGCTCTGTTGCTAAGCAGAAGGGAGGGGCTTAGAGAGCTTCAAAGCAGCAATATAATCTTGCTTCAGTTCCAGATCTCTTTCTCTCTGCGACCAGGAGATGGAAGCAGTGCTCCATCAAATCTATCAAACCATCTCAACATCTCTAAAGCAAAAGAAACACAAAGTAAAAGACAAGGTCAGACACCTCTAAACTTTTCAAAAAGACTTTTCCCAACAGTTGCCTTCCTTAGAGAGGAATATCAGCATATAAATAGAACCATATAAATAGACCTTCATCCAAACAGCCTTCTGTTCTCCAAAAGCATGTATTTATCCACATCCTTTTCAGCATCATTTTTTGTAAAGACCATACTCTGCCACTTCATTGCTAGAGAGTTCCCAGGTCTAGGCTATAAGCTCTCACCAAGAAACCTGAGTCTCTCTACTACTAATAAAAAACAAAGAAGCCCTAAGTAGTGCCCCATACCCTTCTGTTACACTACCCTATGTATTTCCCAGGAACATACATACACAAATACACCCTGTAAGTAGCATTAAGTTACATCCAACAGAAGTAATCTCAGCACATTTGGAATAAGCAGTTCCCTAAATCCAGGAGTTCTAAGCTCTAACTGCCCTCAGAGCAAGAAGTATTCACTTTGGAGTCATGAGTCCCACAGGACGGTGCAGGAAAAAGAGATGCTCCAACCAAGAGGACAAATAGGGAAACACGGGTTGCTACAGCACAAGACAGCAGCTTCTCTACTCTAGTCACACTGACAAGCAGAGAACAACTAGTAGCAGCAACCAGTCCCAGTAGAGGCCATCAGGTAGATGTGCAAGAACAAAGCAGCTCTGAAGACAATTAAGCCAGGCCTAACAGAGAACAAGGCTGGCTCCAACCCCTCTACAGCACATCTTCCAGGAAGGGAAGCTCAGACTTGGACTTCTATAGAGCTATAAGCCGTGGCCAGAGACTACAAAAGCAGAGATACCCAAGAGGGGGAGGAGGACAATTAGGGCCTATTGAGCACTTATTAGCCCTGCTAGTTGGTTGGCTCTCTACTATATGATTTGAGTTAAGGATATTACCACTGATCCTCCACATGATGTAAGAGACAGCAGAAAGTTCATTTTTTGAAGTTGTTTCTTTGAGAAAGGAATTGTAATTGTCTTGAACATTTTAATCATGTTTCTGCATTCATTCTTCATGCTTAAATGTGTTTTGTAGTGGCTGAACTAAACTGGCTGCTGCACTTAAGCAGTTCTTTGACTCCCATTCTTTTTAAATTTACCAAGGGTTATGAGGTGAGAAAACTGGGGTTGTAATCACCCTTGTCACTCCACATGGCACAGCTGTGCTACGGCAGAGAAAACAGTACTAGTGGTGCAGGTGCTGGAACTTAGGTCAGAAATTGTGTTGGGATCCTCTTGCTTTTACCACATATGTTTCTGCTCGAGGCTTTCAGAGGGGTTTTCTGAGCGAGAAGCTGAATGTTGGAAGAAGAAGGGGTAGAATATAAAAATTCTGCCCTTTTGAGAGGGCTAGATAGCTTTGTTGTTGTCTCTTGGGTTAGCTATAGGATTGTAGAGATATATATGTTAAAAAAGAACAGTGTGTGTGTGTTAATTGTGGAGGGAACAAAAAAGTATATTAAATATATTAACAAGCATCTGGACTGGTAGAGAAAGTGGGTAGGGGTGAAGCTAGGTTTTGTAACACATTTGATTACCCATCTTGGTAAAAATTCTTTGTGTGAGTGAAAGTCCTCATCTTCATGTTCTGATTAGAACTGATTACATGTAAAATTAAGCATCTTTCTGATATTTGGGCTCCTTTGGTGGTTATCTCTTTAGTTCTGAAATAGACACTTGCATCCCTACCACTGATTACATTAAAATCACCACACTTCATGCTTCACAGGTGACAAGGTTAAACTTTTTGCTAATGAAAGGTGATACTGCAACATAACCATTCTACTTCAAGAGGTTGATCTTTCCAGGAAGCCTCAAAAAGCTTCAGCCTTGCAAGATTCATATTTTAGATCATTGCAGGTGTGATGTACAGCACAGGGTGGATCTGAGTGTCCTGGTGGACAATAGGTTGGCCATGAGCCAGCAGTGTGCCCTAGTGGACAAGAAAGACAGCATGATCCTGGAGTGCATTAAAAAGAGCATGGCTAGCAGATCAAGGGAAAGGATCCTTCCCCTTCTATTCTGTCCTCCTGAGGCTACATCTCGAGTACTGTGTCCAGTTCTGTGCTCCTTCAGTTCAAGACAGGGGACTTTTAGAGGGTGTACAGCGGGAGGTCACAAAGATTATGAGGGGCATAGAGCATCTTCTTTTTGAGGAAAGGCTGAGAGACCTGGGACAGTTCAGCCTGGAAAGGACAAGACTGAGGGGAGATCTTGTCAATGCTTGTAAATATCTAAAAGCCGGGTCTCAAGAGAATGGGGTCAGGCTCTTTTCAGTGATGCCCAGTAACAGAACAAGGGGCAAAGAGCACAAACTGGAACATAGGAATTTCCATACAAACATGAGGAAAAACTTCTTTATTGCAAGGGTGAGAGAATGCTGGATCAGGCTGCTCAGAGGGAATGTGAGACTCCTTCTCTGGAGATACGTAAAGCCCTCCTGGATGGTTTCCTGTGCGGCCTACTCAAGTGAACTTGCTTTAGCATGGGGGTTGGACTAGAAGATCTGTGGAGGTACCTACCAACTCCTAGAATTCTTTAACTTACGTAAATAATATAACATGAAAATAGTGGGATGAGGGATGAGGCTAGGAGCCTTGGAGTGAAGCTGGTCTGCTCCTGACTTGGCCCCAGTCTCAGCACATGTGGTAACTATCACCCAAACCGGCTCTAGCTGAGTAGATTACAGTAGGCAATTATTGTGTATTTGGGCGGTACAGGGCTGCAGTTTTGACTCTAGGGCCATGTTCTGACTTTTGAGTATATGCATTGTTTTTCATAAATGATGGTATGCCAAAATGGTGTCATTGTTTCTTTCTCACCCTCCAGTTAATTATTCTTGGAGGTGTCCTCTTCTAAATTCTGCCCTACTGCTTGCAAACAATGCCCCAAAAGCCAACAGAACCTCATACTTTCCTTTCCTTTGTTCAGCTTTCCAGGACCTTCCAATTTTTCAAATTCATCTCAGATATCCCTGCAAGCAGCATACATTGCTTGTGGTCAGCAACACAGACACCATCGTGGAGATGGCATGGGTCGATGAGCTTTTCCTGCTTTGGTGCCCTTCCTCAGCATGGCTAACACAGATGAGGAACACTTAAAAAACGAGAGGTAAGAAGTAATTGGGGCTGTTTATCTTTTATTATAAATTTAGTATGAATGACCAATGGAAAAGTCACAATGGAGTACCAAGACCGTTTATCAAAATTTTTAGCAGCATTTAAACAGTAAGAGATTTCCAAACCTCTTCCAGACACCCCTTGCCCTTTGCCTCCCACCCACCAAACAGTAACCTTCACCCAAATGTGCTTCCCGAAGCTGTGCAGGGATTTAGCTCACCACCTCCTGCATCAAGTCCCCTGAGCTGCCATGAGGAATTGCATCCCGAGTGCTGGCCACCAACAGCCAAAGCCCCCAGCCGTAAGAGTGGGGCTGAGTGGGTTTTGTGGCCCCGCAGTCACACCAGGCAGCCCCACTCCTGTACCAGAAGGCAGGCAGCCATGGCTCACTGGACAGAGGCAGAGAAGATAATAGTCTGTGCTGGCACTGAGGCTGATGGCAGGGCAATGGGACCAGGGCTTGAGGGAAAGGTGGAAAGTAAGAAGTGAGACACTTCACAAAACAAAGTCAGTGGACTGCCAGCTAGAGTGGACAACAGTGTTCTGCCTACTAAGCAACGACAAGTAGAACAAACTTTTTTGTGTGCTTTTTTTGTTTTGTTTTGTTTTGTTTTTAGTTACACTGAGATGGAAAGAGCCTAGCTGTTGGTAGCTTGGTGAAAATAGTGTTAAATTAGAGGTGAAGAAACACAACACACATCCACACGTGTAGACGAGAATATACTATTGGCAAGCTATTCCCCTGCTTCTTTGGTACTTCCTAAACTTTCTTATCCAAAATATATAAGGGAAATGCACCATTTAAGAGTTACTGTTTGTAAGTATTTACAAAGCCATAACCATTATGCTATGATACACCAAGATCAATATGATATGAACAGTTATCTTATGAAAAGCACTTAATGCACATTTTGTTCCAGTATCTTAGTAGCTTTAAAAAAATTCACGTGTTACGCAGTCCTGTACCTCGCTTCTTATATCAAATGGACAAGAAACATTTCCTAATCCATACTTCTCTTCAAAAGATTAAAAAATTGCCACCAAAATGATACACTATGTACAATTTTTTTTTCTAAATATTAAATTCTAGGCAATTATTTTCACCCCACTAATAATATAACTTAGGTATTGTTACCTACTATATGCATATATATTTATTTAATACATAAGAAATGGCACCACATCACCATGTCACCAATATGACACATTGTTATGTACAGTAGATAAGAAGTTAGATATGGAAGATGAATTCTCTCCAATCGGTCCTTTCATGGGAACGCTTCTCCCCTTGATGCTGGCTTGGCTACTTCCCCTGTTTGTGGCTCTTCAGACATAAGGTAGGATACCATACATCAGCAGTGCCATTACCCCTGCACTGAACAAGCCAGCCACTGGGACAGTCACAAACCAGGCAAGGAAGATGTTGCGGAAGAGGCGCCAGTCAACAGCTTTCTTGGAGCGGATCCAGCCAACGGCCACCACGGAGCCCACCTTGTAAGTGTGGGAGGAGAGAGAAAGAAGAGATGTGAGGGGTATGTCTCAGTTCCTGCACCATGTCTGCACCAATGCCAGTCAGCTGATACCAGGCTATGCTCGAAACCGGCGCACTGAGATATAGACCTTTTGGTGATGATGATGGCTGCCCTCAGTCAAGCCCTCCACAGGAAGTCAGCCTTTCTAGACAAGCCACCAAGCAAAGCACCCAGAGCTAACATCCTCCCTGCAGATGAACACATCAGCCTGATGCTAGGGGGCATGCAAACTACAGGAATATCAAGAAGCTTGGCTTCAGGTGGGGAAAATATCCTCACAGACACTAACAGGGCAGCTGAGGAGATTAGTGTTTCACATAAAATGCTGCAGCAAAGGTATAGCTACTATCTGTCTATCATTTATTCCTTCAAATGTGTTTTCAGTTCATGTACTTGGGTATAAACCCTTCATATTATTATGGCCACTCTGCCACTAACAAAACGATGTAGACCCATACATGTCTATTCAAAGCAGATAGTAAAGCATTAAGGAATGTGGAAACAATATTCAGCTTTGAAGGAATTGAAACTCCAAAACACAACCAGGCTTATGCTCCCCTCCTGCAGGCTAAAATGACATCCCTGCTTCCTCTTCCTTATTCATTTTCTTAATAGGAGAATTAGTCCCTCTCTATAGACTACAAGCAAATGATGCATGGAGCCAGGGAAATTATAAATGCTGGAGTGTGATAGGAGAGGATATCCGATCCACATCTTTGTTAATACCTACATAACTTCTAACTGCTGCCTAACCTCTCTTTTTAGAGGCAAAAGCGCTTCGTTGACTACCCTATCACTCTCATATCACTGAATCAAATGCTCCTTTGACATAACAAGAAAAAACTAAAGTTGATGTTCTGGGACTTGAAAGGCCTTGGCTTAAAGAAAGCATGAGATGTTCCCACAGAGGAGTGGACCCAACGCTTTGAAGGTCAACTTCAAGACTGGGTGAAATTACATGAAGGACCATGTTTTATAGGAGGTATACGTCTGAGGGAATAAAACTAAAAGATTGTTTTGTTTTGTCTGTAGGTTGACCTGATCTAATAAGGAAATTTGCTAGGTAATATTTAATCTGAATATACCAGGACTGGACAATGTGCTAGGCTGTGCTTAGCTGGGGGAGCATGAGGCCTGTCTGTATGTGGCTTGCAGGAATCTCGAGAAAAAAGCAGCACCTTGCTCAGTAAAAAGGAACTCCTGGCTTCTGAACATCTCAGGTGTTAATCCAGGGAAACAGTACTTTTCCAGCAGCTCAGCTGTTAGGCTCTGCTTTACACTTTGCATGCTTTTAGCACCAGTGTGACATGCTACAACAAGGAGCATTGCTTATTGAGCAAGCCTGAAATTTACATACAGTAATCTCTGAGTCCTTCCTGAAATTTAAAAGGTATCAGCAATGATGGCATTGGTAATTTGTTTTAAACATAATCAAAGTTTAGTTGATTAAAAGTAATTCAGATGGACTAAAGGTTAGGAGAGTAGCTAAAACTTCGGTGTAGAGCAACTACACCTTCTGTGGAATTTCAGATGACATCTACTTCGAGATTGGTTTGAAACCAGTGCAGTTTGCCTTCAGTATGCTCTGCTCAGAGCAGATCAACAGGAAATTCCTGTGCAGTGGTGCCTCAAAATAATACCCAAACTACCATAACTCTGTTAATAGCAAGACAGAGAGTGTTTACAACACCCAAAATAGTAACAGCAAAATAGATCTGGCAGTGTGACCTCAACAAAGTTACTTTTGCACAGAAAAAGCACCTACCTCCTGCACTCTGTTTTTCTCAGTGTGTTACAGCTGAGAAGCACCTGTTTGTAGGTCTCACATTTTACAGTAAACAACAGGCACTGTGTATGAGACCCAGCGCTGGCTGCTCGCCTACCTGGGCAGCAGAAGGGGGAGGCATGCATTCACAGCACACTGGTTTTTCCATGCTAAACTCAAGACAGGCTGAACAGGTGAAATCATGTTTCTGCTGATTGAAAAAAAAAGAAACTTCTGTCTCAACGGCAACTGCTTCTTTGCTGTGTCTGCAGCAAATTCCATAAGGAAAGATGGAGGAGCTGGCAATGCTGTCAGGGAGACATTTTCCCATGGCGTGAATGACAGATAATCACTCTCATATGCCTTCACTGGGCCCTTGACCAGTGAATTGATCTCTCAACTCACAGTTTCGTTTTGCTGAAACACTGGTGTAGTAGCGTGATGTTCTAGAACAGCCTAATCCTGTTAGGAGGTAGATCCTCCCACTAAGAACAACCTATCTAATTATACATAGCAAGCTGCAAGTAGGAGGCGAAGACTTAACGACATTAATTACTTTCATGGAAGCAATTTTTGAAGAGTTAATGTGCCCTGCCATTCAAAAAGACCAAGACTTTGACTTGAGTCAATGTGTTGAGTCAATAAATACATTCTAACACAGCCCTCTCATTAGCTGATGGCTTCCAAGAAAATTTCCCTTTTGCATTTAAAGTTGTCTATTTGTGTGCACCAAAGCGTATTTTCTCTTTTCTGATGGCTGACTAGAAGGCTCCAGGCACACAGTGCAGATAATCAAAGCTGCATTATTCTCCCTGGCCAATTCTTCATTGGGCATTTGACTTTGACTTAGCTGAAAGGGAGCTGTTTTGGAGCTACCATTTTCACAAGTGGCTCGTGTGTTACAAACTTTTTCCCTGATTGAATCAGAGGAACCAGTTAGGCCAAGTAGCCTTTCAGAACAGTCCAGGCTTGGCTACTGATCAAAGGACTCTACAGCAGAAAGAAATAAATGATTTTGCAACTTTCTGCAACTTTCTGAAGAAGTAGTTTTCACTAGAAAAGGCCAATTGAACTAACTCTGGGTGTTCAGCAAGATTTGTGGATTTTAAGATTCTTTCAAAGCCACTGGTGAGTAAGCTCAGTATCTCACTGCCTGCCTGCTGCATTGCAGTGAGCCCCAAAAACCTGCCCTGGCAGAGCTGGGAGGGCTCCAAGGCCCCCCAGGTGCACAACCGAATCCCTCAGGATCTGGCTCTGCTAGGGCTTAGTGGTACATCTCAAAGCAGACTGCCTGGCAGCTGCTGGCTCCCCAAAGGGATCCTCACCACGCTCTACTGGAAGGTGACGTATACAGCCAGCTCTGAGTGTCCAGGAGTCCATGGGGAAGCAAAGGGAAGGCAAAAATTATACTGGACTCATGAATTTCCTGTGGAATCAAATTCCAAATTCCCAGTGTTCTTCTGCAGTGCAAATGCTCTGTGATGTCTACCAGCCTCTACACGGGTTTTCTCCTATAGCATGTGACACAACCTTTATCAATCTTGTCTTCAAGCTGGGCTTTTTAAAATATATATGTGTGTACATATATTTATATATAAAATATCAAATTACAGAGACTGTATTCTGTGTTATAATGCACAAAAGTGAGGATGAATTGGTTTAATAGAAGAAAGAAATTAAATTATTAGCGTAAGGATGTAACGCTGTTTTTTTTATACAAACAGCTCTAAACTACATGTAACCCGGATCACACAAACCACGAGCCTATGTTATTTTAAGAAGTCTATATTAGTTCAATATGACTAAGCAAGGATCAAAGACATTCCAGACTTTTGTGCAATTACTTGTAATGCTGACTTTGCTCAGCTCTACCTGCTTTATACAGTCTTTGGTGTTTTGTCTGCATGGTGCATCGCGTAGTGAAGGCAATCTGCAGCAATCGGTATATCTCGTATTTTGTTATGGTTTGTCCTAGTGATGTGATTTACTGATGGGGTCACTGCAAACTCCAATACCTTGCAATGGGTGGAGCTTATTGGAATACCCACATTTGAGGCTACAAGTACCGTTAGCGCACACATTACTTCAATGCAAAATCCACTGTGAAGAAATAAAAAAAAGACATATGGAAAACCTGTAGTAAAAGAGTTATATGCAGGAAATCCCATGCCATGCACTTAACAAGAAAGTGAAGTATAATGATGAATGGTGCGCAGCCTCTGAACAAGGGAGAAACGCTACACGACCAGGTTCAAATGGCACCTTTGGAGGAAACCAGGCTTTCCACTGCCAGATGCCCCTGCAATTGTTTGCTTTAAAGTGAGCTCACATGTTGGTAAGCAATGTTTTTCTTTAACCAGCTAAACCAGCTAAAGGAGTTCACACTCCAATGGCTGCCATGCCCAATTGCAACAGCTTTATTGTGACGTCAACGCAATATTTGGAATCTTATTTTATTATTTTTTAAAGGGCTGTTTTCCCTTTGCCACACTTCCCTTGCATAAACGTGCCATTATCCACTGATCTGAGCAGCATAGTTAAAGATGAATAGTCCAGACTGCCCTGACTGCAGTCACTCGGCGAAGGCATACCTTGCAGTGTGTAGTACTGACAGGAAGTCCAACATTGGAAGCTACCACAACTGTGAACGCCGAAGCCAACTCAATAGTGAATCCACTGCGGGAAGCATAAGAAAACACTTCACAATCACTCTTTGCATCAGCTTGGACTGATACCACGTGCAGTCTGCCAAAGTCTTACCTGTGTCTTCTTCAACCATTTATCTCCAACTGATTTTTGTCATACAAATAAAGAGAACAAGGAACTGCTGAATAATGAAAACAGCATGAGCTAATCACCTGCAGTAACTGGTGGCACGGCTCATTGCGTCAGGAGCTTTTGCTATGTTATGCTGCGGTGAATCATGCCTGATTAGTGATTTGGTTAAGCACCAGAAGAGGTCTAATACGTACCAAGGACAAAAATTACTGTAATGAATATATAGGTTTTGAATAGTCTGAAGCACACCAGGAAAGCCACTGTAATCTCACAATTCCACATACACCTTGTGCCATGTTAGTCAGGTCATCAGCAGAAGACTGTTCACACAGACCTCCACACCTCAAACTCACTCAGTATTAGTTTATAGGTATATACATATTTTTCAATTTTCTTTCTTTCTCTTTTTTTTTTTTTTTTTTTCATCCCTCCTTTCTTTCTCTTTCTTCTCATTTTTTAGAAGGACAAAGAAATCAAAGCCAGGTTATCATTAAAGCACAGCAAAAACAGCAAAGTACTGCCACAGCAGTTTCTCAGACTGGCTCGCACACAAATATCAACCAGCATAATGATAACTGAGCACCTACCTTGAGGGTGTGATTGGAGTGAGGTCTTTACCCATAGTCTGGATAACTCTTCTGCCCCAGACCCAGAGACCCACGCAGATCCCAACCCCTCCATAAAACAGCAGCCAGACGGGAGTTGATGCTTCTTGCATGACACCATCTTGTTCATAGATTAACCACAGTGCAACAAGGGGACCGATTGCATTACTGGAAAAAAAAGAAAAAGAACATCACTCGAGTTATAAAAATGTAGGTAATTGCCTTCAAAGGAAATTTTTTGTGCTTGATTTTTCTTCACAGTGTGTGCAGAACTGCTGACCCTACAAGCAATACTCCTCTTCACTTGTGAAGACTGCAGCAGTGGACTCTCATCATGTTGCTTTTTCAGATGTCACTTAACCACTGATAACTATAGCAAGTGCTGAAAACAATTCACCTTTAATAAATCATTTCCAGAATTGTCAGAGTTGGTAATATCTTACATGTCTGTTCTGGGACAAAAAGCAGCATTATCAGTATCAAAATGAAGTTAACTAAAAGTTTACCAATTCAAGAGCTCTGCATCTTTAAAATTCAAGAATTAAATGATCTTTTGTCAAAGAGGGAAATTAATGAATAACTCTAGAGAATTTTAGAGAAGATGTAGATATTATCTAGTCTGATAACATGCAACTTTTAGAGATATGAGAAGAATGTGGATGGGAAGGTGACTCCAAATACACTGCATAACTGATTAGTCTGGATCAGAGAGAACTATTTGGTTACATTGAACTGCCATAAGCTCATTTCACTATCCTGTTACTGCTGTCTAGAAATCCATGGAAATTCAGTGACATTGAAGTCCCCACTCCAAGGCACGCCGCAGGATATTGGTGCCTTGCTCACGCTCCAGTACCTGGAGGAAGATTTCTGACTATGCTCATTCTGAAAAAACAGAAAAAAACACATGGTATTTCTCAGAATGAGTGCAGAAAAACTTGGGAGCTGGCATCCAGTTATCGTAGAGGCCTAAAAACAGAAAAAAGCAGATAAGAACTTTGACATTACTTTTTTTTTTTTTGCAATTTTCACTAAAACCAAGCTTGCCCTGCAGAGTAGCATTTAGCACAAATTGTAAAAGCATAGAGACCAAGGCAGTATTATAAGTAAATCTAAATAACAAAAAGAGCAGCACAAACCTGCCCGATGTCATTCAAAAAGTTTGAATAGGAACAGGAAACTCCCTTCTTTGTAAAGTGATAACAGAGTGCCAGTGGTGGTGAATGACACGTGCAGCACCAACAGCTATGCTCACCCTGTCTCAATTTAGCTGCTGGTCTTGCTCCAAAGCACACAGTTGGAACAAGGGACATTTTTAACGTCAATTGTTGAGCAAAGCAAGCCACTGCAACCTACAGTCAATCATTTAGTTGAATCTCATCTTTACAGGAGAAGAGGTTGCATACTAACAGCTAAGTCCTCAGTATTGCTAGCACAGCATGTCTGAGCAACACAAAATCTCCTCCTTCCTGTCTCCTGGTCTATGTGGAACCAGACCCCAAAACTGAGAAGTGCCCCTGCAGAAAAGTGACCAGGAAGGCATTCTGCCTTGTAAACATACACAACACTCAAACAGCAAGTCAAACAAAAGTGCTTGAAAACTCTCTAGTTTAAAAAGGAATGAATAATTCTTAAAGATTTTGAGAAAAATCTGGAAATAAATTAGTGAGCTAACATGAATAATAAGATCCAGTGGGTTTGAAGACATTGGAATGAAGAACTAAATACTTTTTAAATAAAGAGTGAATTCCACTAACAAATATACCTTAACATTCTGCTCTATCTCAATACCTGAATATACATTTGATTTGTTGAATTTTGTGAATGCATAAGTGCAGTCATGCTTTACTGCCTGAATGCAAGAATTGCTTTGTCTTGAAGGTACATGAAAAGATACATGAACTAAGCATTTCTATTATTTTTAAGTTGACTTGCAACTTCTTGGCCACCGTTTGCAGATGCAGATTAAATTACATGCATGTTTTAATGCCTTATTGTGCATGAAAGGTAACTCACTGCACCTTCAACTAATGAAGGCAGCTGTGGATGAGAGTAACTAAAACACTGATCTGATGAATAAAGGGAAAACTGATTTTCCCTTCTTATAATGGTGAATGACATAGGGACAACCTTCCTGTGGAAAATAACAAGTACCTTTGGAGCAAGCCCAGGCACTGATTCCTGACTGTTCTGAAGAGATTATGCATGGATATTTGTCAGTCCTAATGTAAACGGGAAAGACAGAAAAGGCTTCAAAAACAACAGCAGAAAACGATGGTCTTTTGTACCAAAATCCAGTTTTAATTATTTGCAAATGCTACAACTCTGTGAATCAACTAATCCTAATCCTCAAAGAAAAGCTTATTTTCTTATTGTGGCAAGAGAGGGTGAGGCAAAATTCCACTGACTTGTACCTAGCTATGGAGGATTGAAGCGGATAATGCTGCAGATCGGAGGAGACCGTACCAAACCACAGAGGGCAGCACTTCTGATACCATCTCTGGATGGAAAGAAAACAGAGGAGCACTGGATCAGTGTATATTGAGAAGTCAGAAAGGTAATTAACTGCATTGTCAAAAATGAATATGTAGACCACTGGGTAGCTATTTACACCACACAGGCATTTCTCCTCTCTATCTATTGTTTTCAGTATGGCTTAAATATTCAATTCCTAGGAACAACCATATCTCCCAGACTGAATACCTGCGAGAGGCTACCATCAAGCAGCAAACTGGCAGTGGTGTGGAGCCAGGGTCTCCAATCTACTACCTGCATGGCTTCTGGGTTTGTTCAGCAGGTCCAGTCCCAGGGACTTGTGGTATCAGCTTCCTGTGCCAAGTGGGAAACATCTCTAGAAAAAGCCATCAGCCTTGTCTCACCACAAAACTGCCAAAAAGTTATCAATGAACAAATCTGATTTACAAACTGCTGAGATTAGGATTTTGGTACACCATGTGTCATCTTCAAGACACTGCTATTTCTATGTGCAACCAACCATCCTTGGGACTAGGAAGAGTTCATCAATGGATGACAGCTGGTCCCAACAGGAGAGTAAGAGAGAGATAACACATCAGTAATAGGTTGTTAAAAGACTTTGTTTTAAGACCTTCTGTGGTGAACAGATGTCTCCTGCAGCTGAGTGACTAAGCAGTTGAACCATGATATGGGCTACGCTAGGATGTGGTTTGCAAAATATCTCCCACAGTTCTGTCTCATTTGATTCAAGATATGATCAGAAGAAAAGCAGACCTAAAATCTTCCAAGTGTTTGGCCAAGACTAATTTCACAAGTATTCTGAAGTTGTGATTTTCTCTTACCCTCCTATGGCAGCTCTTTTACTTGCTTTAACCAATGTGTATTGGTGCTGGAGGTCCCACCTGGGAAAGTCTTATTCATAGTAGTTAGAGGGAGAAGATAAAAGAAAAAAGAAAAAGGCCTGAGGTAACCACCAAGTGGGTTTGGACCCCCATCTGCTTCTATCTCTTGTAAAACTGCCATTAGGTTCCTATGCAACTGGGATGCTTCGGAGCACATTACTGCATAACTTAGTTTTGCATCTAAAAGCCAAGATAACACGGACCCTGTTGGGGTGCTACTTTAGTTTCCTATATCTACAAATCAATGCCATAATATGCATTTTTTCACTGAGCACAAGAGGATTCCAATGCAAGTTAATTTTATGCTGCATTTATAACACATCATGGCAAGAGAGTCCCAGCTCCTGAGTCTGCCACGAAGCATGCTCTCCATGCCTATTTTTTACTATTTCTGCTGGTCTTGGCTGCATGAGAGGTGTCAAGCTGCCTGCTGCCTGCAGATGCATGATCCAGGACTAGCAAACACCTACAGCAGCACTTACGCTCACAGACTCATGTCACTATGGCACAGTCAAGCAGCTTGGACCATTTCCGAAGTGCTTGCTGATCTTCCTGGTTATCTTCTAGCTTTCTCAACTAACATAAATTGGCATGACTTCTCTTTTCCTGCTCATTTGTGCCAGTTGAGAATCTGTCCCAGAGCATTTATAAAACTGTTGTGAAAGACAATGCTTGACAGTTCTTCTGAACTATAAATAGAGTTGGCTTTGCCTCTCCCCTGAGAGACAGATAGTATTACCACCAATAACAAAAAACATTCAGCTGTCATGAGACAGGCTTAGAAATTACCAGTTTGCCATGCAAACATACATTCACACACATGCATGCAAGTAGAGATTTTTATGTGCTTTTGGGTCATGTGTCCAGTTCTTTGTCTATAGGAACAAAGACTACAACTTTTTTTTTTTTTTTTTTTTTTAAGTAAAAAGATTTTTTCAGAAGTGAAAGGATACTATCAGTTGAGAACTCTGTAAATCACCAAACCTCATGCAACTTGCCATAATATTTTGTGAACTAGCAACGCTATTTCCTAGCTACTTCTTATTTTAGTGATTTGCTCAAAAAGAAAATCTAATCGTAGTTGAATGCTAGACTCTGACTAAGCTTTCTGTTATAATCTGTGAGCTGCAGGCTATGTGATGACTATGCTTTGATTCTTTGCTATCTGAAAGTCAAACTGTGTTTTCGACATTTTTTCAAGTTCACTGGAAGAAGTTTAGTGCATACACTACTGCTGATTCAAACTCAACTATGGGCAAAATAGCTGAAAAATCTATATTAAACCTCCAGTTTTACACATACAGTTATGAATTTCCCATTCATTCAAGTATTTTCCAAAACAGGCTTTCACAAATGACAGTAAACTTGTCTCTGAACTTCAACTGGGAAATTAAGTGGGACTTTTTTTTTCTTTACTGCCGTCATGCTCGGAGACATCACATAACTGATTAACACTGCAAGGAAAGTTTGCTGTGTGCCAACAGCAAAAAATACTTCCTAATTTCCAAAGATCTCAGATTATAAAAAAATGGCTCTTGCTTTTAACCTACTTCCAAAAACCTACAGAATTGTGTATCATGGTATGTGTACACAGCATTGTGTGACAACTGTGTGTCACAGCTATGCCCCATGAAGTACAAGTGTTGGGCGTGTTTTGAGTCATGAAAACCACATGTTTCTTCCTGTAGCTCATCAATGTGCACTGTAAATGGTGGCCCTGAAACATAAATCCCTGCAGGCTGCAGGAAAGGATGAAATACATTTTACCACTCACTGCAGCACAGGAATACACATTCCTGCCACTCCTACTTCTTGGAGAGGCAGGGGGGTTGGTAAAGACACAAGGGAAGAAATGCCTCTCCCCAAATGGCATTGAGCCATTGTACCACCAGTAGGGACAAGCTATTCCCAAAAATGTCTGTGCTATGTGATTCTGGCAAAGGGAGAGATAATAGTCTCTTTCTGCTCTTCCCTCACTGGCCTGTGTGGCAAGGAAGTGATGGCACAGCTACAGAAGCACTTAGCTGGGTAATTCAAGACGCAAGATTCAAACCTACTCAGGAGACCAGCTGCACTTTCAGGATATTCTGCTATTGAAAACCAAAGAAATCAGATTTCAGGCTGCTCTCTGTAGTAACAGATTAGCTTCCAAAATATTCTAAGTGATCTTGGCTGCAGCTCTCAGGGAGGAAATAGGAAATGTTTATTTTGTAATCTGGCCTCATTATATCTCCTGTAGATCCCTTATTCATCAAGGAAACTGAATCCCAATAAGCGCTGTGTGCAGGGAGATACTGACAATGTTCTGGCCCTTTACTCTTTTCACTTCATTGCATCTACTCTGAGAAGAGGGGAAAAAGTGAGTCCCAGTGCTGCTGGCGTGCTCTGACCCGTAAGTCCAGTTAAGCCTGTAGGGATGGGAAAGGAGAAGTTTCCTTCATCCATCTTTGGGCAAGCCAATGTTTCCTAGTTTCACTCACATCACTTTGAATAACAATATATTCCCTATCTGCTAGAGATTCAGCTTCTAAGACATTGAAATAATTTTTAGAAATATACAAAATACTTTTCTCTAGCTCTGAAATAGCTCTGAAACTTCCCTGGCTTTCGGGAAAGACTAACTCAGGCTTTGTATGCAGCATCAGCCCTACAGCTTTGGTGGTTCTTTCCCTGCCTGCATCTATACAGTAACTGCAGGCTGCTGAGGTTGTAGCACTGAACTGTGGGTCACCAGGATTCCTGCTGAACAAAACTGTATTTACAGAAATACAGAAATGCGCTCAGTCCAGCACAACTATAGGTGCATATAATCCCTGATGACCAATAAAGCCTAGCTTCTCTGGAAAGCTGGCTCTGAACAAGCGTTTAGGAAGCTGGCAGGTTTCCCCATGTCATGCTCCTGGCCCAGGTTTTTTTTTTCCATCCTGCCCTTTTTATTCTCCTGTTGCCCTTGCAATGACCTGACGTGCTCCCTTTGTGCTCGGATGTTAAGCCAATGTGACCTGCTCGCTCAGCCCCACTGATTAAGTCCAACAACAACATTTTTTCAGAGGGTCTGTCCCCACACATTTCGTTGGGATTTTAAATTCTTTAGATTTCATTCAGCCCATGTGCATCGGAGTGTCACAAGGCGCTGGGCCCAGCTCAGTTAGTCCTGGCCCTGGAAGAGCTCCAGCTTCCCCAGCACCATGTGTATGAGTATTGCAGCAGGAAGGGATGGTCTGAACAGAGCAGGCTGCCAAATAAGGAGTCACCATGGCTCCCTGCTCCTTTTAACATACAGCTGCCTTGGTAAGGATCCCTGCAGCCGCTGGCCGTAATTGCTATCTGTGCTGATAGTTATCACTGTGACACTGAATGGCAGAGATGAGCTCTGAAAAAACTGAGGTCTATCTACCCTTTTGCTGAGTTAGTTCTGCAGTCAAATGCAAACTACTGATTCAGCTCTCCCAGGTCCAGGGGAAAGGACTGCAGAATGAAACAAGGGAAATTCACATATGATTTTTTTGCTTGCTATACTGCTATCCAAACCATACGAGGCACCTCTGCTCCATCAAGAGTTTCAGGGCAGTATCATGGCTCAGTCCATACCATATGCTGCTGCCTTTTATTGTAACCATTTAACCACCTGCAAGTTGCACTTGTTCTATCAGCTTTTAATTTGTCTCTCTTTGCTCCTCTCATCTGCTCCTGTCCATCCCTAGGATAATAGCAAACAGCCTGATGGAAAATAAACAGAAGAAATGTGAGGAGGGACAATTCTGAGACAAAAGAGGAGAATGGAGAAGGCAAATCCAAGGAAAAATCTGTGGATGAAGTAGGTGCTGCCCCGAACATAGGAGCAAGGAGTTTTTAAAATCAAATGCAGAAGCAAGCAGGATTTTAATGTCAGGATTCAAGGATGAGAAAGAATAGGAAAGCAGCAGCAGCACTCAAAATGAGTGGAAGGAAGGGGAATGAGGAAGACAGGAGAAAAAATAGCAGAGAGTGATGGAAGACAGGTTGCCTAGGCTTGTTTTCACACAGATATGTGGACAGAAAGCCATGCTACTAGTGAGGTTCTGCTCCCTTATTTTTAAAATTGCACACTGTCTCCTAAGCTCTGCAGATCTTTATGTAATATGTTGAGGAGCCAAAAGCCCAGTAAGAATTCTTCTGCTCTGCTAGACATGCACTACACAATCAACAGGATAGAAATCTGCATCCCCAGAGCATTTTATCAACTCAACATTTTTGTCTTTAGCTTCCATGACTAGTTGGAACTCAGTATATCTGCAAGAATGGATTCATTTGCAACCTGGGATAAGATCTTAGATCCATGGCCATCTTCCTGTGTTTTTAGCACCTCTGACAAAATGAGCTAACTTGTTCTTTAGTTTTGCAATTATGTGAATTCAGCTTAAAAGAGATCTTTGAAGGAAATGTATTTAATAAAAAGACACGCTTGCTAGCAAGTTTGGGAGGATCACACTGACAGAAGTAAGTACACATCTGTAAAACATTAAAAAATATGAATTTTCAGGAAAGGATATTGCCAAGGCAACAAGCCAGTCTAAATGGGGAATTCTGGGGGAACTATGCTATTGGCACAACCGAGCACCATCAAACAGGGTTTGAACTTCATCTTTCATCCTGTCCAGCTCCTACCAACTACCAACAGGGACTTTATAGCAGTCTACTGGTACTTAAAGGGGGGCACTACAGTAAAGCTGGGAAAGGAATCTTTATGAGGCACTGTAGTGACAGGACAAAGAGTAATGACTTTAGGCGAAAAGATGGTAGATGTAGATGAGACATTAGGAATAAATTGTTTACTAACGGGATGGTGAGGCTCTGGAACATGCTGGCCAGAGAACTGTGAATGCCCCATCCCTGGTGGTCAGCACCAGGTTGGATGGGCTTTGAGCAATCTGATACAGAGGCAAGTGTCCTTACCCATGGCAGCAGGGCTGGAACTAGGTCATCTTTAAGGTCTCTTTCAACCCAAATCATTCCATGATTCTATGATAACACAAAATTTGATTTTTGAATGGACTGCATCCTAACAGTGCACTTCTAACAATTTCTACCTTCATCTGCTGACAGAAAAGGCAAGTGGTGCTTGCAAGAACATATCAGTCCTCAAGGAATACCTATAGACATCAGTTAGAGAGCACATGTGAGTATTACAGGTACTTGCTGTTGTAGAGGGCAAACTTCCCACAATGGCCTTTCCCCAGAAGAGGGGCAAAGGAAAGCCATTCATCTGCTACAAAAGTTAGATGCTCAGCTCAAGATTATTTGACACAAGAGAAATCTTGACATAACCAAGTGCTGCCTCCTTGATTTGACCTAATGAACACACTGTGCTTGGATTTTGATAGGGTCCTTCAACAAGGGCCCTTACAGAAATTAAGCTGTCATGAGATGACAGGAAAGCCTCTCTTAGGGATTAATAACCAGCTAAAAGGGAGCAAGAGAAAAGCAAAAATGGTGAGTAAATCTCTTCAAATAGCACTTTAGCTCTTTACAAATGACAAAAGGGCTTCACAAGTTATTACAAAAGGAGCAGGGAATGAAACAAGGAATACAAGTATCAGATCCACACCCTGCGTGGGCATGCATCTTCTCCCTTCAGTCTCAAAAAGGCAACCTGGAAGAGATGCATAAAGTGCAGCAAGAAAAGAACAGCTCCCATATACGCAAGAGTTAAACAGACAACAAATCTTCAGCATGGGCAAAGAAAAAGGGCTCAGAAAGCAATGGGACAAAGTCCTAGAATAGAAAGCCATCAAAGCAGAGCTGCAGACAAAAAGCTCTGAGGTAAGCAGCCTCTAAGCTGCAGATGCTGGGAGAAGGAATACATGAGAAGTAATATTAGTACTGTTTGCTCTTCCTCATATGATCTTCCTGTTGGCACCTGCCGTTGGTCACTGCCAGAACTTGGGTACGCTCCTCCATGGGCCTTTGCTCCTGCTCAGAGTGCTTGAGCACAAATCCTGATCAGTGGAAAACATCCAAGTGAAAAGAAAGTCACAATGCTGCCCTCTGATCCAGAGGGAAGACATCATCACAGACAGAAGGCATCCTTCTCAGAGCCAGTAATGAAGAGAGCAGTAGTAAGAGTGAGGACAAGAAGGCTCTTCAAAAAGCATTATTCTGAATTCCCGAAACACTGGATGGATGAGGAAAGCAGAGACATGTTTTTAAGTGTTTTTGAGATGAGCTGTGAGTTAAATTGGGCAGCTGACAACAGCAAGGAGCAATAACTGTTCTCCTTGCTGAGTGGGACAGTGTTTGCACAGATACCTAAGGAGGGCTATGAAAGCTATGATTACTGTAAAGCCCCGTTGCAAATGTTGAAACTGACACCAGTAACTCACATCTAAAACTGTGAAGGTTCAGCAAGGAGGGGACTCGGGATGGCCCAAGCTTAACCCAACAGACTGCTGCTTCTACAGTCAGTACCTCTGAGCAGGCTGTCACAGGAGATCTCTGCGGGGACATTATCATGTGGATCAGTGCAGGCATGGGGAAGAGGCAGTTCAGCCCAATCCTAAAGGAAAAAAAATTTCCCATAGGAAAAGCATGCAAACCACCCTTCACCCACTGAGAGGGCAGGGTGCAGCACGTCTGTGCAGATAAAGCTATTTTGTAAGCAGATGAGCAATTGAGGAAGGCATAAAATGCTCCACCCTGAACCTACTTCCTGAGTCCTTTGGTCAAAAGTCTTGTATGTCATGGAGTAAAAAAAAAAGCAGGGAAAGGGGCAAAAGAGTAAAGAGACTGTCTCTCTGTAAAGGTATTTTTCTGACAGGATATGATCAGGCAGTGGATGGCAAAAAGATGCAGATAAACTATTTCTAAGGCCAAGATTTTGTCAGCTGAGTCAATACAAACAGGAGGTAAGACTCTCAGAGGAATATCCTTTTTCTTTATTACTTGAAAATGATGTTAATGCCACAGCATTTGAAGACATATATTCTTAAGCCAAATGACTGAGAGATGAACTGATTGGCTTCTTCTGTCAGAAACAGTAGTAATTCAGCAGTGATAGCAGCTCCAGATAAAACTCCTGCATATCAGAACTGTGTCAGGAGATGGGAATCTTCTAACTGAGCACTGAGGAGATTTGTCCCAGTTCATGTCCTCTCCTTGCACAAGGCACAGAAACATGCCCAGGGATCCTCAGGATTAGCAACATTTAGTTTGGTAAGAGAGTTATGCCAGGTGGAGAAGTGTTGTGTTTATAAACTTCAAAATAACATCAAGGCTTGTTAGAGTTTCTGGGCTATTTAGTGGTATACCGCTTCACGTAGTCTTTGACCCTCTTTGTGCCTCGAATACTCAAAGCAAAAGGAACTTTATAAAGGCTGCAGCAAGCCAAAGAAAGACATTCTTCATATACTTCTTTTTGTCATGTGATATGATAAGAGAAGAAATTCATCTAATTACAAAAATAGCCTAAACCTGTCACTTGCTGTTGGTCGCCACTGTTGTAGTTAAAATAGGCTGTGAACTCTGCAGGACAGCGACTGTCTTGTTTGTTTTTAGAGTGGTCAGTATGCCAGGGCATCTATCTCTGGGGGACTCTCAGTGCTTAAGCCTGAATTAACCTAGCTACTACACAGTTTCTTAGCTGAAAAAATATGTTGGCATTGAGAAGAAAAGAAGCTATAGACCTAGCAGTCAAACTTGTAAAAAGAATTGAGGACATCAGCATAACAATCTTTGAAAATACAACTCCAATTATCATCTGCCTGCAGAAATAAGTTTTCTGACCAGCTATCAAACCTTGTTCCAAGCACTTAAATTATAAAATTGCTGGTTTGTGCAACCTCACACTCTTACCTGACATCATTCCCTCCATGGGCAAAGGATCCGAAACAGGCTGTTAAGATCTGGAGGAAGTGGAAAAGCAGATGGACCTGAGACGTGTCGTTCTCTTCCTTGTCCTCTTCCACAGGATCTTCTGGGGGCCTGTTAGAATCTGCGAGTTCAGAGGCCAACTTCATTTCCACTCCACCCTCCTCCGCCTCAATTTCTGCCTCAGCCACCGCGTTGCAATAACTGGAGTAGCTGTCATAGCGAACTCGTTTCTTAGAGTAGGACACCGTGTCTCCTACTAACTTCTCACTGTCCTCAGGAGTCGATGTATCTGCTGCCTTAAATGAGGAATGCACAGGCATGCCACAGATAGCAGCTGTATAACAGGTATAACTATTGTTGCGTCGTAACAGTTTGTAGTTGTTTTCTTGAGCAGGCTTCTCATCAGTGGACCTGTCCAGGTGCATTTTGTGTAGCAAGTCTTTGTATAAACCTGAGTCTTTGTGCACAGTGTGATAGACATGGCCATCACTCCTCACCTGGCCATCAAAGCTGAAAGTGCCATTAGAGACAGGGGATTTCACAGAGGTGTGCGTCATAGAAAAGGCCCTTCCTAAAAAAGCAGAGATTTAGAGATGTTATTTCTATGAAATGCAATTTTGAAACCCCCTCCCACTTCGCAAGATGAAAAAACAAGAGGAAATGGCTAAAAAAAAAGCCATCACAGGGTATGGGACAAAGAAGGCTAGTTTGCAATACATGCTTTGAATGAGCGAAGAGTTAATCCACTGCAAAATAAATTCTCCCATCTAAAGTTGGGATTGTATTGAAACTATATTAAAACAAAACAAAACACCTTTGTTCCAGCACTGGATCTTCCACAAACATTTGGGAGGACCTGCAGTAAGTCATTTAGGACCCGCCACTCAAAAGTGATATTTGAAGCCCAAGACCTCTATTTTTTTGAAAACTCAGTTATGTAAAAATTCCTTATCTGTAAGGTAAGCTCTTTTCTGAGGTTTTCTTTACTTTGAGTATGTGTAAGTATGTCAGGAAAGATGGTCTTTCTGCAATTTGATCTGAATATAAGGTCACTTTTCAAAAATCTGTATATTTAAAAAACATTTACACGACTCAAAAATAATTTAATAAAACAGAAAACAAAAAGCTCACATTCTGCAAAAAAATATTTCCTCAGCTATTCAAATATTTTGTATATTTTATTTCTATCAACATATTTATTCCTACCATGCGCATTTAACATCAATGTCTGCTGTAGAACACGTATCACAGTGAAGCCAATATTTCTGAAGAAACTCAAATTACCACTGTGCAACATTCAGAACTGTTTTATCTGGTTTTGAAGTGGAAGCTCATGCTCAAAGGGCTTCCCACCGTGACTTCTTTGATTTTGTGAGAATCAGGCATTTACTTACCAAATTACGAGGTTGCATAGACATTAGTAAAATGATATGAGAGTCAGCTGACTCCAAGTGGGTGGGAGAGGGGTGATGCCACCACATAGAACAAAAAGGGCTTTATGCACACAAGCATACCTCTGATGAATATATGTTCAGAAAACAATGAGATTTTTCTAGCGGACATGCTCCAAATGGTCATACATTCGTCAACTAAAACCCAAATCTTTTCATCTCCCGCTAGTAATCTTTATGCTGCACTTAACCTTCAAGCATCAGCTGTTTATGTTCTCTGTATTTTTCCACTGCTTAAAAGGATAGAAATATCATTAAGAACAGCAAGTAAAGCAGGAAGGAAAGTACGTACTGCTTTCATAAAATGCACAGACAACCAAACAAAATGTAATTGTTTTCAGGCTCTCTGTAGAAAATGTCACTTACAAATGAGAATCTTTCTCCACAAGTGGCGAAGAGGGATTAAAGCTGAACATCCCAAACACTAACTTATCATTTATGATAGAGACTTACATGCAGCAAAACATGCTATCAAAACAAGATGACTGTTGTCTGTCTTAGTTTCTTACCATAAGGTACACGTGGATGGTTTCCATTTGCAATAGTATCTGATGCCCCAGCAGCTTCTGTTACTGAGCCAGTAAGGGGAACCGAGCTCTCATCAGACGCTTTGGCACCAGGAAGCTCTTTAAAGACTGGTGTTTCTTCATCTTGAATTTTATCAAGACTTTCATCTGATATCCTTGACAGTGCAGCATCTTTCTTTAACCGGCCTAAAGAAATAACAGAACTGTAATTCTAAACTCAGCCTCTCTGTCACACTGCTTGTGTTTCCAGTGTTTGCATCAATGGAACAGATCCACGTGGATACAGTAGCTTGGCTCTGTTTCTTACACATTATTTATTTCTAACACTTAGCTTTGTTAAATTCATCTGAGAAAATGCTAAATAGCTTCACCAGCACAGGTACCTGACGTGAAGCACCAAGCTCCTCATTAATTAATGTAAACCGAAACTTTTCTCTGATTTTGCAATGCTCTATTTGCTGAAAGTAGCAAAGCAAACAAGTAAAACACTATAAAAGTAAAAGCTGCGATCAGTCCAGCTCACTGTGAAGTTAGTCACTTGAAGATAATCATTCTGCCAGATTTTTCTCTTAAATATTTCCTTAACAAAACATAAAATGGATTATATTCCAGGATTTATTTTCCTGTTTCTGCTAGACTCTGGAAGGCATAAGCACTGCAATGGATTGCCTAAAGAGGTTTTGAATTTCTTCCACTGCAGGTTTTTAGGAGAAGGTTACATAAATACATGAGGAACAGCTTCAGTACGCCCTGCTTGTGGGTGAGGACTAGACTGGATGACATTTCAAGGGCACTTCAGTTCTGAAATGAAACTCTCCACAGTTTGAAATCACTCACATTTCATCAAGCAAGTACTTACTTTCTATTTTTCTCTTCATCCAAGGGCATACAAAAATCCAAACTAAGACAGCAAATACTAGGGACACGCCGAGTGATATCAGAGCAATAGCCCACATTGGCAGTACCAGTCCAAGTACTGTGAAGACAAAAGTAAAACCCAAGCAAACTGTAAATTAACTTGACTTATTTATCTCAAGCAGTGGAACATCAGACTTGCAAAAGCCAGTGTTTGCCATGTATTCAAACCCAACAGGAATGAGCTGCTAATTTTTAACACGAATATGTCAGATACATGCAATATTCAAAGGTCTAGCTGACCTGCTAACATTTATGGGACCAATCCTCCAAGCAATTTGTTACCCCCCCATGACCTCATTTCCCAAGAAGTCAGTAGCAAAACACCCGTGTCAGGGCTACAAAACTAGTTTGTCACTACTGTATACACTAATGCATGTTAAACTCTGTTGCCCATTAGGTTAAGTATTTACCTGACCTCTGCTCTGGTCAATAAAACCTGCTGCTTAGCTTAATCTAAACCATTATCTGCTTATAATAATAGCTTCATGTGGCACTTCTGAGCTGAGGCTCCAGTCCTGCAATGTGAAACCGTGCAAACAACTTGTTCTCCTTTAAGGCCACCTGGCTTCCATTCTCCCAAGAGATCTCCTTGCTCTTGTTCAATTAACCAGTGTGATCAGGCCTTTGATGAAGAAAAAGCCTGGACTCTGACCCTTCTGTTCCATCAATGCGTGCTTATCTTGCAACTTATGTTGTTGATTCATACTTGTTCGTAAACACTGCCAGAATAGAGGCAATAGAGAATAGACATATGTTGATATGTTGTAAACGTGTATTTTCTGCATATCAAAAATGGAATCCCACCTTTTCATTCACACACTTTAGAGACTGCTTAGCTGAAACAGAAGGGACATTAAGATTCTTATTTCATTTATTTTGCTTAATGAGTCACTGCAGACTGCCTGACCTACTTCTGCAAAACAATTAGTCAGGAAATGTTGGTTATACAGCTGATTTACTGTGAAACATCTTGGATATCCATCCAATGAGGATTTTGACTTAAGAAAAAAGAAAAGTTGAATTATGCTTCTCTCAAAGTGGGAAATTTGCAAGCTTTTTGTTAATTTCACTAATGCTACGCTATTAACCATAGTTTAACAAATGCATTTGTTTAGTACATTTAGTACAGCACATTTTAGAGAAAACAGATTTCCATTCAGAAAAGGTCACTTTCTAAACCTGTTTTCTTAATTCGGGTGGCATGTTAAAGATTGGAGTCTCTTTCCAATTGTGTGATCATTCACTGCTCCAGGGCAATGATCTAGTCTAAAGATAACATTCAGTGACCAGACTCTTCAGTAATGTAGTTGAGAGAATTGAACACTTTTTTCTGAACTATCTTACAGCAAGGTTATGTTTAAATACTCATCGCTTAAGCAAATTTAAACATGAACACATAAGTGCAAACATATAAACATATACATGCAAATAAAAGTATATAAGTATAGAAACATGTTAAAATATATAAACAGACAAAAAAATACAAATGTAGTTAAAGTCAGGAAAATGAGGTATCATTTCCTTCTGAGTTGCAATGAAAAGCGCCCAAGAGAGAAGTGGTATTAAATGCAGAAAAGACTTTGGGCTCCTTATCACTGAAGGGAAATAAAGAAGTATATTTAATTAATAGGCTCTGTGCCAGATTCGTCAGAACCATGACTCTGCTGGTTTCAGTGGAGCTACAGCATTAGATGGAGTGCACACAGCCTACTAGACTGCTCTGGATCTTCCATCCTTGCTCTACATATCTGCACCTCAGATTTATGAAGCCGAAGCTGGCAGCTCAGTATTTCCCTTTCCTCTAAAATGGGAATTTTTATAGCTGTGCCCATCTGCACTAAACAGTGTTCAGGGGGGAATCACAAAAACACAAGTACACATAGAAGAATGCATGCAAGTACATGTTCTACTCTTGCCCTTGTGAACTCCTAATGAAAGAAGTAGCAATGTAGTGTTTACAGCTACCCAAGAGCACACTGGTGGAACACTGTTATCCACAATGAATGCAACAACACAACTGTGGGAAACCTCCCAGCCGTGCCTCTGGCTGCAGACAGCTTGCTCACCTGGTGCCCCCGTGTACATGATGGAGAACACGTTAATAGCAATGGTAGCAGCATAGAATACTGGAAGTGCACGAAGACCATTGGGCACAGGGTCTTCCTGCAGAAAAATCAGGAAAAAAAGGAAGCATTAGCTAGGTTTTCCAACAGATTAATATAAGCATGAACCAACATAAGGAAAATACATCCTCCCAGGCCAGTGCTAGGCACTCATGTGGATGGTGAGGAAAGGATGTTGACCTGGATGGTTACAGTCAAACCTCCAGAGATGGTCTTGGCAAGCACCAGTATTTTGGAGAAGCCTGACACTGTTCTTGTAGCTTCAGGTCTGCTGCATACCTGTCAGCTGACCTGGAGGCAAGCTTCTTTCTGTGAGCATTTTACTTTGCAGGGGGCTGTCCTGGCTGCCAGACCAAGCATTTTAACTGAAGCAGGCATGTCACCATGCCTCGCTGCCCAGCACAGAGCTCAGGGCACAGAAGGCAAGCAGCCGTGCAGCCTTGTGCCCCTGGTGCTCACAAGCAGAGACTCAGCTGACAGTGCTGAGGAAATGCACCATGCAATGCGTGGAAAAAGCCTTTGTGAAAAGAGAGCCTTGGCCTTTTGATGGGCTCTACATAGCTGAGAAGAGCCTGATGAAGCCAAGGGGGGCTGGCCAGATTTTGTTTCCTGAAGTCATGCAGAGACACCAGGGGTACGTGCACAAAGGCATGTTCATGTGATTTTGATAAGTTGTGAAGTTTTTGAATGGGAACTTTTTCCCTACAGTATCTCACCCTTTATGCAGATCAAGTCATTTTAAATTCAAAGTTGTGTCCGTTCAAATTTGCCACCTGCTTTTATCACTGATGTTATTTACATCAGAACTAAAGAATGATGAAGCTGAAGTTACAGGTGGTGCTATTTACAGCCAAAGAATTAGTTCCTCGTCTATTTAAGTTCCCTGCATAACCACTAATATGGTATCCCTTATTTTAGGTCCTTGTCATGTGCTGTACCACCTATTTTAGCAAGATGAATAGTGTGAAAGAAATGAAAAGAGCAAATAAAAGTGTTTTGGTTTCCAGTCTCTGCTGGGTGGGAAGAAAGTCATCTTCCACACCAGAGATATATGGAATAATACTACCTCAAAGCTGACTGAGGTCACTAAAACCCATTGATTCAGGTTTCATGAGAATTTAGTAAATAAACAGATGCCCATCTTCTAATATCTGATGCACAAGAAAACCAAAGCTTAAAATTTCTCAGAAATATTAATGAGAGTATCTCCCAGTGAGAACTGTTTTTTATAAATAACAGTTTGAATTGCTATCATGAAGCTAAATCAACACTGAAATATTTGTACTAATAAAGCAGCAATGTCAAAGTATTATCTTTCAGTGACACAGAACATACAACATTAATTAGCTTACGATGCACTTGCATAGCGCTTTCTAAGCCTCAAATATGCGTTTCGTTACTTAATCTGAGCTTTCAGAATTGCTAAGAGCAAACAGAGTTCCAATGGCTAGGTAAAGAATGACTGGTCTCCTTTCCAAAAAGCAAGCCACAAACTTTCAACTCTGTGGAAATGTCCACATTCAAATGATGGGCCAGAACATAGCCTTTATAACAGGCACTCATTATAACGATGGAATTTGTTTACCTTCTTTAGAATGAAGAATCTGATCAACACAAAAAGTACTCCAGACATCAAGCCAGACAACAGTGGGGAAATAAACCAAGAGGCAACTGTGTTAAAAAAAAAAAAAAAAAAGAAGAAGACAGAAAAGAACATGAAATATATAGTATAATATATTTGTATAATAGTCAAGAAGCTAGTAGTCAATGAGCAATGCATTCAAAATAGTTCTTATACAACTAGAATGTTTCAGATATTTACTTACAACTGGCACAGCTCAATTTCCACTGACACTCATGAAAGTCAAACTACTGCTAGGCGCTATTATAAACATCAGCCAAAACATTTCCAAATAACTTCGCAAGTTTAGTTATCAAATTAATCAGGAAAAATTATCTGAGCTGATGCAGAATGAGTAAGAGAATTACTAAAAATTCCTGATCGCTATAACTGTGAAGGGTGCAAGCAAGTGGCAAGTAACTGCATCTAGCAGGGTGTCATGCGGCTCACAGGGTTAGAGTCTCAATTTCCAAAAGGCCACAGAAGCACCAATTGCAGAGAACAATGCATATAAATTTTTTTGCAGGCAAGATTTGCAAATGTTCAGTACTAATTTAACAGAAGTGGGTGGCAAAACTCCCACTGATTTCAATAAAACAGGATTAGGGCAAGGCTCTGGAAATCTCATCCAGATTCACTTATTGTTTGTGACACGGCTAACAGGTTGATTCTGCTGTCATTCCAAGCTCACTAAAAACTTCATTTTACTTTTGACAGAATTACAAAAAAACACACATTGCTAAAACTTCTTTAAAGCTCAACTGTATTCCTGTGCCTTCAACCTCGAGTCCTTCTAATGCAGGATTCAGGATGCGACTTGGATTACAAGGTTTCCAAAACAATACAGAAACCTCCTTGACATCCTTGCTTGGCAGTGCTGATGGAGGCAGTGGGAGACTGTGATGTAAACATGTACAGTGCACTCAGCTTCCTGGATCTGGTGGGTAGAGACACATGACTATGGGCATTCATATCGCTCAGAGTAAGAACGAGGTGGTGTGAGCTGCCACAAAAAGCACTGGAAGAGGAGGAGTGTCACCTTGAAGCAAATGTGGGAGGCAAAATGTTTCCTCAGCTTACTGCTGGAAAAGCACAACTTGCATTTTACCTTTCTCCAGGGCTGGCCTGCAGATGCACTGCAGCCCTCAGGTGAAAAATAATTTAAAGAGGGAGTGCTGCCAGTAAAAACCATGCTTCTGTGAAAGCTTTTGCAGTCAGTGCACAATTTTTCCCAGACCCTCCCACATAAAAGGAAATGGCAATTACCAATCTTGACAAGCTGCATCCACTGAACTCCCTGTGTGCCAATTGCAACGAGGGAAAATCCAATAGTAGCACCTACAATGCAATGGGTCCCCGATATTGGGAGTTTCAAGAAAGATGCAATCAGCTGCCAAACAGCAGAACCTGGAAAGTGAGGAAGGGGAAAAAGGATGAACTGTACACAACAATAGTAAAAGAAAAGTCACACCGAACATTCTCATTGACATACCCCTGTTCTTTTATGAACACGGACTACACTCCACATGCACAAGAGAGATCTCCTGAAGAGAATTTTGTTCCTTTTCTGACTGCAAAAGCAGATAGTACAGCAGTCTAATAGCTGCTCTGAACGCTGCATCTTATTTATTGTTACTAACAGCACTTAACACTGTACACAGGACTGCTCTTTTTTGAAGGCTTTCACTATTTTTCACTATTCAATTCATTCACTGAATCACATGAACACACAAACAGCTCCAGGTATGCATCAAGCTTAGAAAACCTCATTCTCTAGAAACAAACCTGGAAGCCTCCAAATGACCAGTGTCAGGAGCCAACCATGGCTTCACTGGTGAGATACCCCAGCTGCTGAATTCAGATGCTACAAGAGAAAGGCTCAACTCCTGGTGGAAGGGACTTTCATGCCTCTTCTCAGTGATGTGCAGTCACTATCCAGAGTACTCTACAGGATAAATTGACTGAGGAGGGTGTGAAGATGCTCACTGTCTTCATTTGTAGCTCACTGCAGCACTGAAGAATTCAAGTTGTGTAAAAAAAGATTCCTAGCACCAAAGAAGACCTTGTATTCAGTTTTGGTTCAAGATTCTGATGGTTAGATTAGACCACAGCTGGACAGTGAGCCCACCAGCATACAGCTCCACACTCTTCTTTTCATGCTGCAGCACAAAAGGTCCCCTGCTCCCCTTGCAATGGGCTAGCACGGGGACATCAAAATCATCTGGGCCATGATTCAAGTTTTCTGCTTATGTTGTTGAATATTAGAGAGCTCTTAGTAATATCTCTTCTTCATCTTAAGACTTTGTGGTCTTGAGACAAAATCTTAATATGTTACGAAGCTCCAAGGTGACAGCAATCAAACTGCAGTGACAGATCCCATATTTTCTGGCTCATGCCATCATTCTTCACAGATCTGCAGCAAACACAGGTGATAAAGCAAGGCTGCTGAACACACATTGTCACTCAAATCCCAGCCTCCATTCTCAATTCCAACAGGGGAGGATGGTTTGAAGATCTTGAAATGGAGTCTGACTACAAATCAGGGTTTAAAAGCATTGAAAAAGAGTTGTTTTACAGCTCCACGACATACACATCAAGAAGGGAAAGAGCTAGGAGCCAATTACTGATGCCTTTTGAAGTTGCACAAGGGCTCCAGTGCAAGGAACGTAGGGTGATGCTCACGATGAGGCATGGTGAAGGAACAGTCTTGACAGCAGAAGCTGGTAGAGAAGACGGGTGGGAAGGTATAGAGAATTGAAGAGAAGAAAGAAAGGTATTCTGATAAACAAGCCTCAGAGACTGGTTTGTCACTTCTAACAAGCCATTACATGGTCAAGTTTCTGCCTTATAAATACCATCCACTTAGTCTTGCCACATCAATCTGCTGGCATCGTATGCAGTGTGGAAGTCAACCAGGCTGTAAAACTGATCTTTCCTGGGGCGCAATCCCAAAACAACTGGTACTCCTACTGGTATTGGAAATTCTAGATCAATCAAGGAACACCTGCCCTTTCATTTTTTGGCCTCTCTTCCCACACACTATAACAATAATAAATACACTCTGAAACCTTTGACATGAACTTAAGAGATCAGCAAGTGGAAGTGAGGTGAAAGGGAACACACATGGTAATATCTCTGAAGAGCCAAATGAACAAAGAGATAAGTCAGCCACAGACCCATAATTGCACCAAAAAGAAGTCATTCTAAAAAACAGAGAAAATGCTTTGAAATCACAGCTGCACTACAAATATGCAGAGATGTCTGGGGTTTTTTATGGGGAAACAGGGAATATGGCACTATTTCTTATTTAATCAATCCAGAAAACAAACAGAAGGGAAAGTACTGGAGGACTAAGTAACCTAAGAAGGACAATCTGTAGTCTGAAGAAGTTAAAGCAAGCATGTTTGAGTACAGAAGAAAATAGAAATTAAGCCAGAGCAGGACTTCCCTCCGGGGCTTGCAATGCCTTAAGGCAGACACCTAAACTATCCACATCAATCCTTAACTCCTCTCCAATGAAAAATGCATGTTTCCAACCTTGACAAAACCAGCCCAGAAACCAGAGGGCTCATTAGAGCTTTTCCTGGCTCACAACACGAATGCTCCAGTATGCTACAGCATCCCAAAAATGAGAGTCCCAAATATTCAAACCACCAAAAAGCAACATTTTAGTTGGTTACAAATTATTACAAAATGCTACATTACAGAATGTAAATGCAGATTATGTCATCCCCAGACAATCCCAGTGCTCCTTGCTTCCTTCTTTCTGACCAGGTAGTTGCTCTGAAAATCCCCATCTGCTGTCTGCAAGCATCAAGAGATCTTCCAGTAACAACTTGAAAGAGGACACCGTGACTGTTGGTCTCCTCCATACAGCTGGCTCGTGGAAGGCTCAGTGAAATTCAGAAGCTAACTCTGTTCATGGAAGCGTGACCACGATGCATAACAGAATGAAGAGAAATGTGCAGAGGAAAAAGAGGAAAAGTAAACATACAGGAGAGAAAACACAGAGAAAATATTGTACATCCAGAGGAAAGCTAGAGGTGGATTTGAGGAAAAAAAAATGGAACCTGCAGTTGGTAATTTGTGCTTAATTCAGAGATTTAAAATGTGGGATTTGTTCTTAATGCCCTTACTGAAGGAAGGGAATGCAACCGGTCATGAAGTTCACACTGGCTTACGTAAACACACATGCAAATAAGTTATTTTCCTTGAGCTTCTGGCCAGTTGCCTCCACAGGGGGCATAGGGGACATAAAACATCACCCAGACAGGATCAGAACATCATGAAGAGATACAAAAAGGGGAAAAGACTCTGCTCTGCAGGTGGTGGTCAGGAGATGTAAGTCACTACTTACGTCTCATGTGGCGTGGGCTGCTCTCAGGTGAGAGTTGGAAATGGTGGAGCTATCTCAGGAAGAAAAGGGTAATACTGCAAGCAGAGTGACACTCCTTAGTCATCCCACAGCTTGAGGGCAAGAACAGGAATCTGCAGCTGGCCTTGCAAGGCATCAAGACAGAGGAAGAAATGAAGCTCGGGAGTGCTGAAGATGTTCCTTGCAGTTGCCTTATATGAGACAGCAGCTAATCAGCTCTTCTTCCTCTTCACCAGGGAAGGCAGCCAGCCCTCTGGAAGCTCAGGTGTGGTGAAGGTCAAAGAGGAGCATTGCCCCTCTTACACACCAGAACTACCTCAGTCTAGCCCAGAAAATGGCAGTCTAAGCCCATCTTGATCCATTAGAATTTTTTAGAAGTGCAGAAATGGGGAAAAAATGCATGTAGTAGATCTCTGTATGGAATCACCTATTTTTTGTGCGGGTTCTGTTTGAAAACTCTGGGGAGAGTGCTTTCTGCTTGCTGTATCCTGCCCTTTAAAAGCAGGTTTGCTGTTGATCCTTGTGGGAGCTCTCCAAAAGCTCACAAAGCCTCTTGCATACAAACAAAGGAGAAATACCAGGGCTTAATGTTACTTACCTCAGAATATGCCACTTGTTCTGAACAGAGATTAATTTAACTGCAAACAAAAGTGTACAGAGTAGACTCAGAGGTACGCAGAACTGCTGCTGGTTTGAGTTAGAAAAAGTAAAAATGCCTTTAATGTGTGACCATCTATCTTCATTGCTCTTTGAAGTTTTGTCATGGGGCAGGATTAAATGTATGATTAATTGCAATCAATCAGCAAAACCACCAGTTTAAGCAAATATGCTTCATTTTCTTTAATTTTTAAAAACTATTTAGGCAATTGCTTTAATACTTAATTCATTGTAAACTTCCTGCAGGATTTTCTCTGCAGTCACAAATGGTATGCTGACATATTTTCCATTTACCACAATATACATCTCCAAAATCTTTTTTTTAGGTACTCTAGGAATACATCTATACGGTCCATTACATTAAACATTTTTTCCTCTATTAGTTAAATGGCTGAATAGCTGGAAAATGAAAATGATTAGAAGTGTTTTTAGAAAGTAGGAGCCTAAAAAGGGAATGCAAACCCCTCTATTTGCACAAAACCAGACATGAGTCCAGAAGATGGGAAGATGTAAATTTAATTAAAAAGTTCACAATGAGCAGGATGACAAACGTGCAGTGACTGTTACTTGGAACAGGAAAGCATTACTTACCAACCATTGCGCTGACTTCTCCTGCCATCAGCAGCGGCACAGTCTTGTTGTACAGGTTAACATCGATTATACCTTTCCGAATCGTCTCTCCTACTTTTGCTCCCAGCAGTACCGAGCCAGTAGTTTCAAAAACTGAAGCCAAAATGCAAGCCTGGCGCAAAGTCACTACACCAGAGCCCACGGCAGTTCCGAAAGAATTGGCAACATCATTTGCACCCACTGAAAATGCTAAAATAAAAGCAATGATAAAACCCACAATAACCATCCACAGGCACTCTTCCATTGCCATCTTTCCCCAAAGCGTGGATCAGTTTCCCCTTTGCAAATAGTTAATAGTCAAGGCTGGAGGGAACCGTAACGGATTTGGAAAGCAGATTTCTTGTAAACAATGAGTTCTCTCTGGTAGTGTTAGAATGTGAAGAAACTGCTAACTGCCGATTTTCACACTACTATAAATACTGTTCATTTGCCTGCGCTCAGTCAGCAGTGAAGAACATTCCATATTTTGCTCCCAAACTGGTACAGCAGTGGTGTCCTGTCCTGCAGCAGAAAGACAGAAAAGAAAATTAAAAAATAAGAGCCTGCAGAGCCTGTCTCAGTGCGTGTTTTCTGTAGTAAACAGATGATTTGAATCCCTTAATGGGACCCTGCTATGGCATGTGACTGTTCTAAATCATAAAGCAATTCAAAAAGGTTAAAATTAGGTCACCTTCAAAGCAACACGCTTCTTGAAGTATCACTGACTGAGAAAACATTTTGAGCGCTTTAAAAGGACTCAAAGAGGTTGGTGTTTTCTGCCACATTTACCAAGCAGCTCTCTTTCTAGAAGGATTCATTTTGGCCCTTGGCACCAAGTAAATATACAGCATGTAGGACATACAGACTATACCACACAGCCTGATTCCCAGCTGATGGGTATTGCCCAGCTCCATCCCCTCTGCAACGCTGTCCCATTTTACTAGCTGTAAATGAGATGCACTGCTTTGGAAAACTATTTTGTCTATGAAACATCACCAAAATACTCTCAAGAGCACTGATATTCATATATTGCTATTATCACATCCCAGGCAGTAAGGATATAATCTTTTTACAGCTTCTCAGCCACTGAATCAGCACAGTGATCACAATATTCCCATGTATTCCTATAGATCTATGTAAGTGTAAGGAAAAATCTGACTAAAAAGTTTTAAGCTCTTTCCTCGTTTCTGTAGATAGTTACTAATTACTAATAAGCTTACTATACTCAAACCATTCTTATATTTGAATAGTTTTTGATGGCTTTGATTGTACAAAATCCTTTTTGAACTATGTCTTCATCTTTACTTAGTTTAATCTGAAATATGAGTGAGATCTTTAAACCAAAAATGCAGACAGGAAGGAGCTTTAAAAAAAAAAAAAGCTTCACCATCCAAAAAGAATCTCTAGGTCAATAAGAAAGCTATTAAGTATATTTATATAAATCAAACTTAAAAACCACACTTCTACATTCAGCAGTCACCTAGTTCCCTTTGATTGCTATGAAACAGAGACAGTTTGAAACCAAAGTATTTTTGAGAGTACGTAGGGAAAAATTACCATTCTCCAGATTTGGATCAGACAGACTGTATGAATCCTTCATACATGTGCCCCCCAAGCTCTTTATCTTTAAATCAGATGTCACAGGTGCAAAAGCATTGCTGAACTCAAGCCTGTAAGGACTTACGGGTCCCGTAACCAGTAGGGACTAAGGTGGTTAAAGGCTGGAAGCAAGCACCAGCCTGGAGAAATCCATCTGCCTCTTCCATTGGCTGCTTCTCTTGTAACAGTCAGTCATCTGCATCTATGAAGCCATCTTGTAGCATCTTCCTACCTACACTCCAGGGAAGTGCCATTTAGAAGGTGGTGAGGGGTCATGGGCATATTCAACAGGAAATACCTGCAAGCCAACTGCATATCTTGCAGAAAACATTTCAGAGACTTGGGGGAAGTCAGATGGCAAACACCGAGCCCAACTACTGCTCTACTTCTTTAGCCTCATTCAACAAATCCACGCAAATGTTTTCAAAACCATGTTGAAGTTCTTTTGAATGCACTGAAGGTCTGCATTAGGAGGGAAGGGAGGTCTCTGGAGAGGACATCCAAAACCTCAGAGATCATGATGAAATTAGAAAATAATGAGATTTTGTATATTCCTGAGATGCCGTATCATTGAGAACTACCACAAGGGAAACATCACATCGATAATTAAGTAATCGTTCCCTGAAAAAAACTGAAGTTTATGTCAAGGATTGATCTTTTTATCCAAACACACATATTAAGGAGAAAAGATTTCTCTTTTTTCTTCCAGACTCTGCAGAGGCTGGGCGATTGTTGCTCTGGTCTTTTCCAGATATGGAACAGATATCAACCCCTGAATGATTTGCACTCCAAAATAACATCTTGGAAGGTCTTAGCTGCTGAAAACATTTGTATAAGGATTTTTATACTATGAGATAACATGCGGAAATGAAGCTCCAATGCATTTTTCATATTTGAAGACTTGTTGCCCATAATTCATGAGCACTCAGCCTTTGGAGTGGGAAAAGACTTGAAGAGAGGGAAAGGCTAACAATATTCAGAAGAATTGATTACAGTTAGAGTTTGTCTGCCTGAGAAGGGGGACAAAACTTGCGGTGTGCAACCATGAGACACTGAGACATGCCAATGCCTATAACATAGCTCGGTAGCCTTTCCCAGTCATCCTTATACTGAGAGCCTTATTACATACCTTGCTTCAGATGGAACCACAACAGAAAATATGATTACTCAAGATAAAGTGTTAAGGAAGTGATGGTTTGAGCAATTCAGCCTGCAAGGCATTCTGAGAATTGACTTGCTGTTGCCTGAGCTGAGAACTGTCACTTCAAAATTCTCTGTAGAGAGCATAAGCATGCAGGCACGGGGGCAGATAAACATTTTTCCTTACTCTGTTAGATTCACTCATTTTTATTTATGATGTTGCATTTTCACTGAGAGATGAAGTGCTGGACCAAGCTCCTTCCTTGATACTGGAGATTCATGATTAAATTCCTCACCCTGCATGCATTTGTACAGCACCTTGGCCAAGTTAGCCTCTGTGCCTCAGCATCCTGTCCAGAAAATGGGAAAACTTGCTTGAAATGTACATGTATCCACAAACACAGTGGCTATGAGAGTTCTGTTTCCTTCAGACCCATGAGATGCTAGCAAATCCTTATTTCCAGCAGAGGTCTGTCTGCTACTTACCAACCAACCTCCCAGTTTTCTGTGGTGACCCTATCTCTCGGATGAGGGAAAGCATGGGTACTGTGACATTCCCCACCACAGCAAAGCTCATAAGACAGCATTTATTCAACCAGTTCATCCAGCTACCATAATAAACTGCTAAGTCACAAGGCTTCCCTAACAGCTTCCCTGGGAGATGAGCTCCAGGTGGTCCCAAAAATATGGAGGCTGAAAGTAGGTGTGCTGAAGCAAAGAGCTCTGAAATCTCCTAGTGAAGGCCACAGAGTCTCAAGTGTGCTGGTGGGGCTCTTGGCAAAGGGCGGAGGGACAGCTACGTGACCGCCATCCCTGGAATGCAATATGGGGAGGAAGGGATGCCTGCAGCAAGGTGCTACTGTAAGTATCAACACAGAAGTCCTCCTCTGAAGTCTTGATTCAATTTTACCAGGGCCGGAACTCGGCAGTAGCTATATCTTGTCTTTAGCACATCTAAAATCCAAGTGAAAAGAGGAAAGGGAATGGGCATGCTTAGAAACTAACACGCAGGCAGAGTCTGAGCGGTGTTACTACTTTCTCCTTAAGTAAGTAGGAGATGTTAAAAGCTTAAAGAAAGAAATGGAAAGAAGGAAGAAAAAAATGGTCACATCTGCTCCTCTGTGAAAGTTTTCAGAAATGCAAAATATTCTGCAAAGTAGGCCAGTGACTAAATACAGACTAAATCTTGTAGCGTGCTTCTTTCTGGAGCCCAAAATACATCTGGCATGCTTGGGCACGCTGAGCTATGCCCCTCCTCACCTAATCTAGCCCATGAGCTGTGGTATTTTGAGTTGTTGCTGGGACAAAAAAGAAATGGGTAAAAACACCACACAGGAGAGTCTGACGGACCGTCGGCTTTGCATGATGTCTGGAAGCCTCCAACCCATTTTGCCCTTTTGTATTTTCTTAATACGCCTCCGTGATGCCAAATGCAATTAAGCCTGATCTGCTCAGCACTGGGAGATCCTCAGCTTCACCTGCGGGACCAACGTCATCTCCCCCGCTGGCTGCACCAGACAGAGAGGTTACCCTGTCAGAGCACAGGGCCTGCAGTGTGTGGCAAGGCTGGGCCTGCAGGGCACAGGGCTTAGGCCACAGTGCACACCTCTGCGGGATGCTGTGATGCGTGCATGTGGAACGACGTTGGGGCGAGTCTTCCGGCCACAGGAAGCTGATTTGGCATTAAAGACAAAGTTTTTAGCTAACGTGGCTTTCTTCTGATCAATAATTAGTGTGGCATTCTTGGGCCTCGTGAAGTGGACTCTTTCAGTGGACTTATTAACTTGCACTTCAGTGCAAAAAACCTGATTGTTGGAAATGCTAAGCACATCCTTGCTGGCAGATGACCCAGACAGCCCCTGTGATGTTAGTTTGCCTTTTGCTGACCGTCTCCTCCCTGGAGGAAAGGAGTAGAAGGACAGCCAGGAGAGGGGCACCGCAGCTCATTGTGAGCGACAAGCAGATGGGCAGGAAAAGTCAGGAAGTGAGAAGCGGGAGATCATTTCAGGACATGTTTATATGTGGGTACTTACTAAGAGAGCTATTCTGGAAACTATTCACAATACATTTCTAAGCGTAGGCAAGTTTTTTGGTGAAAAATTAACAGGAAATTGGATAGATGATGTTGTCAATTCTTATTTTTTAGCCAAATAGATTGCTGGTGGAGAGAAAGCAAAAACACCCAACAACAGGGACAAATGGTTAAACAAATGCTGAGGACTAGGTTCAAAGTCTGAGGAAGCGATCCCAGTGCATTACCCACCAGCAGTCCAGCTGGGTGACAGCGAGGAACAAACAGAGACCCGATAAATGCTCTTTCATCTTCTCTCTCTTGAAAATGAGGGGAGAATCCACTGCATTCACGTGAAACATTAAAATGTACATAAATCACACTGCATGCAAACCACCTGCTCTCAGCAGCTGCCCCGTCCTGGAGTTTATAGCTTCACCCTGCTACAGGCAGGATGCGGATTCAGTGAGTTTCCATTTTCAACTCTTGTTCTGTTGTTGTTGTTTTTTCTGTTGTTGATCACATATGAACAAAAAATCAATAGACAGCAGCTAATGTAGCACTTCTAAAGACAACTATAACAAGTACTCCACTTTGCATTATGACAAGAGATACAGGGGAGGACAATTTCTTCTCCCCTGCAGTGCTCAAAAAAGCAAATATTTTGTTAGACTGCTGTGTTTAATTTGCACCGACAGGACCTTCACTTCTCATTACCGGTGGCTGAAAAGTCTGTCTCAAACATTTACCACACTGGGGCTTTCAGGAGTTTATTCCATCCCTCCCAAATTTCTGTGTGCTGTTCTTTACATAAGACACATTTGTAAGGCTTGCCACCTATGTATATAAGTGCAGGGATCTTCTAAATTTGCAATAGCTCAGGCATTACAGCCTATTGGTACTAACTACAGTGCTGCACAGAAATCAGACCTGATTTATAAGCAAAGCCCCTGACAGTTTACAAAAATAGTTACCTTTTCTAGTTCCTGCTGGGGCCATAAGACTCACAAAGTATCTGCTTTAAGTTACTAATATTACATCTGTGATATGGAAGGTGGTACAATTCAAGTCGTTCGAGACTAAGAACATCCCTATATGGCTCTAAATGACATGCACAGGACTTGTCACAAGGCCAAGCATGATGCAAGTTTAATGCTCCAGGACACAAAACCCACTAGTGTACTTTTAAAAATCAATTACCACATACTCAGAAGCAATTTTGTATCAATCAGTTCCTATTTTAACACAGTCACTATGTTTTTGTGCATACTTGGCACTACTACTCGATGTGGAAACGGCACTGAAGTTCACAGTTTTCCAGGGACTCCTATCAAGTTTAAAACTGCAGAGAGGGAGTGTCACCTTCAGCTCCCAAAACCTGCAGAGGATGCTATGTTTTCCTAGACCCTAACAACCTCTGTTCCCATTACCGAAAGGCCAAAAATGCAGATAAAATATTTAGTGTGAGATCATGTTGCCAAAAACATTCACTCAACCGATAGAAAACAGTTGTGCATAAGCAGTAATTCTACAAACCAGCAAAAGTAAGCTAGGTAAGGTATCAACAAGTCCTCATTCACCTGTTGATAAAGATATTTTTATGTACTGAAGAACAGTTTTACCTTTAAGTGACTGAGCAAAGTCTTTCTAACATGCAAATAGTATTTATGATTCTGCACAAGAGCTTTCTAAGATCTGTTCAGAGAAAACAAACAAGTGCTTTGTGGATATTTAAACTACATTTTATAAAAAAAAGCCATGCACAGAAACCTTTATAACTCACCCAATACTTAAAAGTTGTTTCAAGAGAAACAGGAGCTAAGTTCTCCCAGCGACATGCCTTCCTGATTGTAAATAGAGGCTGAAGTCTAAAATAGATAGCCTATCATTCAGCACAGCCACATCTGACATGCAAACTTCCAGAGGGTATAAAAGTGCTGGCGACTTACACAGGCAGTCCTCGGATAGAATTCCTTCCAGCACAGGGGAGCCCTCAAGACAGCTCCAAGAAGCATCAGCACGAGTCCAGAGCCGTGTTCAGGAGGTGGAAATCTGCCTCCTCTTAAGCAAAGAATTCTGCTGGGGGTGGGCACTGATAAAACACAACACTGCGTCACAATTGCACTCATTAGGCAAACCAATCCAAGGAAGCTCATATTAAAACAACAAAATGTTCTCTCTCTCTCTCTCTCTCTCTCTCTCTCTCTTTCTTTTTCCCCCAAGCACAGGCATAGACCAGATAGTGAACTTCTTCTTTTTTTTTTTTTAAATCTCTTACCAGGAGCAGTGACCACTGGGCATTCTGGGCTGATCGGGTGGGCTCTGAGAAGCCCACTTTGCAAGCACACTGAGCCTACACTTCATGTAAATGGTGAAAGTGCATTTAGCAAGATAGTATGCACATCCGATTGAGGAAAGATGTTGCACGTTCGTTACTTTATCCATGTCAGTAGAGGTCTCACAGGCTACGCAGACTGCAGAAAGCTGAAGATGTGCACGAGTGTGGGCTGGAGCAATGCCTAAGCAAGTAACTTCACTTACAAAAGTTCAGCCTTGATTACATAGGCATAATTCCTTGAACCACCTTCCTTGGAGTAGGAAGAAATCTTGCATGTGTGTCAGAGCAAAAGTAATGTTTGCGTAAAAGCACCCAGCTTAGCTTTATATAAAATATGTCCTTGAATACCATAAGATACAATCAAACTAATTCAGCAGCAAGGAACTGAAATCAAAACTTCATCGTTGTAGTTTAAAAACCTGATATATGTAGGTTTACTTCAAGGATAAACCAGGCTTCTGGTTTATAAGTAAATGGCATTTCAAACTTAACATTTTTACTAAACTTTTAGGTTTGACTCCGTTCTGAATCACATTCAAACATAACAAACTCAAATTTGCCATGTCCTCCAAATTTGAGAAAAATCAAGTCACTGATTTAAATCTGCAAGCATAGAGTTGGAAACTTAATTCTTACCTCATCTATTTTTTCAAGTCCAAATAAAGTCATAATATTGCTTAACAAGGAGGTAAAGGATTTCCAAACTGAGCTCAGCTGCAGATCACAGTCAGGGATAATTTGGTAAATCTGAAAAGTGGTTTATATTTGTTAAAAAAACACACGTGGATTAGTAAACCTACATCATCTTCTACAGAGAATTAGGGCAAATCTCCAGCTAGAAATCTCTAATGCAGAAATGACATTAAAACCTTCCAATTAAAAAAAAGAAAAAAAAGAAAAAAAAAAAGATAAATATCAGGCCAGGATTACTTAGAAGAAATGTTAACTCTTTAGAGAAGGTCAACACCCAACCACTATTAAGCTTGCCCCAAGGCCCACAGCTTTGTGCACAGCTAAATCTCAGGTCTGGATATAGAGTCTCTCCTTTTCATGTTGTAATTGCTGGCAAACAAGCTCACCAGTTTTAGAAAAGCGAGAAACTGGTTTTCCCTTCTTACAAAAGCCACATATGCTGACAGTGAGAAGGTAAATCTTTTCCTGAAGATCTAAACACATCCTACTTTTTATCCTAGTTTTTAAAAGCAGCATCAATCAATCCACATGAGAGTGAACCTGATTGTAAACATGGAGTCAGCTTGTATTTATAGGTCCAGATTCCAAGGATTTAAGGAAGTGAATAAACAAACACAGAAACTTTCTTGGAGTACTTATTTAGCTTTATACAGTAGGAAAAACAAATGAAAAAAATACCTACGAAAAAAAAAACAGAACACAAAATATTATTTCACGTTCTGTTTATAGCCGACATGCTGTTGATGACTGGCACGGTAAAGCATGGTTCAGACATGAAGGATCAGAAGCAGATTCAGCCCCCCTCCAGCTCTCCCCAAACAGTGGTTCATCCAGCGTGGAGTGCCACCACAGGTGTGCAGATGCAGGTAGGAAGGCCTTCCAGAGGACACTCCTTGGCTGGGCTACTTGGGAGGTACCTCCATCTATCCCCAAAGCCAAAGCTGCCAGCCAACACTGTGGGAACCATCTCAGACCCACACAGACAACAAAGTAGAACCCTTTGGGTGCCACTTCCCATGAGCCAGCCTGACCACAGCCATGGTTTCTTGTTGACGTAAACTTCAGAGCAATTGCAAAGGATATAATAAACAGCACAGAAAAAGGAAATATCTTTCAAGCTTTTGTTCTGCTAAATCAGCACTGTGGACCTCAGGCATGGGAAAAGTCGATCCAAGATAGGTTGATCATTAAAAAAAGTTACAATTTGGGATACCACTAAAGAAACAGGCAAAGGAAAATTTATACGACCACAAAATAAATGATGAGGTTCGGCTTCTGGCAGTGGTGGCACCGGTTGGGTTCCCATCAAAACAAATATTTGTAGAAATTATAAATATTACATATTACAATTACAATCAGATATTGTAATTTTTTTTTCTTGATTGTAATTTACTCTGGAAAGTCCACAACTGAGGGATCCCTGTTTGATTCAACAATTCCAGTGTCGGCAGATTTATATTCTGCTTTAAATAGACTAATAGGATGTGCTGATTAAAATAATCAATTTTCATTATTTTCTGAAAGATGCCAAGGTTCTTTTTTATCAGTAACTAAAGCAGCATTAATTGGCAACTTCAGGACACTGTTATATCAAAAGTAACTGCCTTTTTTTTCCCATTCAGATGGGAAAGCCACATATTTATGCAGTTAGAGGTATTTTAAAATGCATACAGCTTCAGAAGAAAATAAGGGAATTGGCTGTCATTCTCTAACATGAAAAACTGTAGGATTTGGAATACCTGCAAGCTGTGTTTAGTCAAAAAAAGCAATGCAATAAAAACATCCAAAAGCTGGCCAACATTGTTCCAGTTGCACTCTGATGTCTTAAATAAGGTAACCGACCAATTTTCAGACTTTGGCATACCTATTGATACTCTAAAACTGGGAGCCACATGCAGTTGGAACTCAGCACTTTTGATTTCCCTGTGCGTGTGCTCCTGATCCTATAGGGAATCCCCACCTCCAAATGATGAAGAGAAAATGAACAAGCATAAAGGAGAGATGAAGGTGGATGGATGGCTCTGAATTTCTTCTCTGCAGATGCCAGACCTGGATACACTCCCGAGCAAAGCCACAAACACTGCTTGAGCCGGAATGAGCCTGCTCTGATCAACATCTGTGTACTCACTTTTGCATTTTGGGTGTCAAGCTCCAACGCATTCTGTAATCTATCAGGATAATCTCCAAGTAGAAAGAGATATATCTGTATTTCACTCAACAATCTCAAACAATCTCAGGACTGACTGTAAAGTCCAATGTCATAGACATAAAAATTAAAAAGCTGGTGGACTTTCAGAGATGGATTGCGCTTTTTCACTTTTTGCTCTGAGAAAGCAGAAAACTGGGGGGGCCTTTTTTTATCAGCTCCAAATTCTGTCACGTTGCCATGTGAAAATTTTTTTCCAGCAAGCCCTTGGTCTCCCAGGGTGGAATGGCTATCCCAATGAGGAGACTTCCATTCCCAATGGCCAAGGTGAACTTACTGTACTTACATTAGCATGCAGGGAGAGCTGCCATATTGCAGCGTGACTCTGCTTGTAGCTACCCATCATCTTTTGAGCAAGTAAGCCCTGGGAAAATGGAAAGGAGGAAGCCACAGCTGGAACTGCTGGAGGCCAAGCCTGGCCTGGAGGACAACAGAGGCTGGGAGAATGAGGCTGATTCCAGTGCCTGACACAGAACAAGCCCATGCTGAGCCAGCAGGACTTCAAAGGCAGTAAAACCATTCCGGAGAATCAAGGCTTTGTTCAGTGCTGATTCGAGCACTGCTCCAGTTAATGCCAGGAACCAACTGGACTTGTATCACCCCAACTCTGGCTGACTCACTGAGGCTGGGCTTACAACATTCATATTTGTGCAAAGGAATGGGAGAACCGCTGCCCCGTGTCTCCTGGGACTTTATCAACTATCTTCCCTCCTGAGCCCCACCTCTAAAGTAAGCAACCAATATGGGCAACGCACTTTTAAAAACCCCGGCTGCTGCCGACAATTCAAGTAGCATTATTCCGAATTACTTATCAACCTACATTAACTACACATAGAACACAAAAATTGGCTGTACAATGTTAAAGGCAATTTGGAAATTCAGTGTTTCACAAATTCAAAGGCTTATGCAAAGATCCCCTGGTAAAAAGCCAGAATGAGGTTGCCAGAATTCAATAATGGGAATTTTCAGATAAAGGAAATATGACACCTCAATCCCCAAATTAACTGCCATTTTCATTTTGTTTGGGGTTTCATGTGACTGCTGTGATGTCTTCTCCCACCGAGCTACAAGAGAACTCTAGGGCTCCCCAGAAGCTAGTGAACCTCTCTCAAGAGGGAGGCAGAATGAGTAAGCAGTTATCAACACATTTAAGCATCCTGAGTGGCCCACGCTGGCATCCTCCAAAACCAGCACGTCCACCATGACAGAAGATCAGGCACTGCTGAAATGGGCTAGCTGAACTGCTAAAAGCAGGAAAGGACCAGTGATGAAATTATAAAGGTGGCAATACTGATGCAGACACTGAAAGCTGTGGCTACGGCTTCATGCTGTTGGAACAGTAGCCAGCTATGACACCTAGGAGCCTGGTAATGACATACACAGGCTTTAATACTTTCTGGAGAAAGGTCCAAGCCACTTCTGTCACCAAAGAAAGCTCTCCCTTCACACTTTCCATTACATGCTGACCATATGAAGAACAGCACCTGCCACCCAATAAGTCTGTTTGCCCTCAACGATGAATAGCGGCTGTTCTTCAGAGTCCGTGTATTGGTCCAATTCTACCTCCTACAGTCTTTACTGCTACAAACATGGGGAGCACAATGGTGAGACAGAATCCTTGCAGTCCAGCTATAAGAAAGAGTTAACACGCTGCTTCACTGTAGGCTGGTGGTGCTGCTGGAGCAAACAGGTGGCTGACAGACCTGTCACACTGGCTGGTAACTAAATCACTGCCGATGTGACATGCCAAAGAATGTCCCACGATCGGGTGCATGGCTTGGCAAACACCTGCAAAAGGGACTTACTAAGGGCATGTGCTGTGAAGTAGGTCAAGCAAAGCCAGGCTTAACTCTATGAAAAAGGTCAGTCTCCACCTCAGTGCTTCTCTGGTACTAGACCAAGCGCTGAAAACCTTGGAAAAAGTTGACATACAAACAAGATTAATATAAGGATTTGGTCACAGACCTTGTTATCAAGAATATTCCCTCAGCTGAGTGACTGCTGATGGAAAGATGATTCTGTGTTTTATCTGGGGCTCTTCTAACCTGCAAGCAAGCCCTGGTGACATCAGTGTTTCTGCTTTGGCAGGGCAGAGCCCATGTCTCATTGGAGCACATGGAAGGGTCCTAAAGGCACGGGCAGGATAATGGGACACGCACTGCCTCCAGTGAACTGACAAGTGCATTCGTCTGCGGCAAGAGCTCAAACAGCTAAAATTTCTCTGCTTGCTGACATACAAGCTATAAAGAGAAGAGAAAGTCATTAAGGTAGCAGGAGATATTTCCTTGAGTACACAGCACCAGCAAACAGTGCCAGTGACTGGTATGCCTCATCCTCTTAAAAAGGTGTTTATAGCTAAGCTGTGGTGGCGATAATGATGCATTACAGCACCTCGATGGCTGCCCGAAGGAGGAAAGACAGCATGGATGCAGCTGAGAGGTCAGTAATAGCAAAGGGTATCCCAAAAGGATATCCCTCCTGCCTTTATGGAGAAGACCAAAAATCAAACACAGCTACAGTAGGGCTCTGCTGTGCCCACTACAGCTTGGATAGGGACTTCCTTAATCTGCCCAACAGGAGGAATAAGCACCTCAGCACAGCCCTGTTCAAAGGAGAAAAGAATGCAGAAAAGAAATAAAAAGAAGTCTACAGCAGCCAGGTATGACAACATCAAGAGAAGAGGGTTCTCTGGAGCACAGGTGCAAGCGTAGAGCATAGTTCTTGCAGGACTTGGAAGCAGCTACTGTTTCCTCCGTGATATGGACAAGGAAAAATGACTCAGAATCAGAGAATGGCAGTGTTTGCAGGGAACCTCTAGAGATCATTGAACCCATTCTCCCTGCTAATGGAGGTTCCCTACAGTAGGTCGCACAGGTAGGTGTCCAGATTGGTCTTGAATATCTCCAAACAGCCTCCACAACCTCTCAGGACAACCTGTTCCAGGGCTCTGTCACTCTCAGTGTAAAGACGACTCATCATTATCTTCAAAATGAATGAAGATCAGGAAAAAGAAAAATAATAATAATAATTAAAAACACTAAAAAAAAATCATTAAACAAATAATCTACCATTAATAAACAACTGGTTGTTTCTGGTCACTGAGATCTCCAGCAGTCACAGAAAGCACTTCCTTTCATATCTGTTCTACACAGAAATTAAAAAGGGAAAATTAATTATGCCATTCTTACGACTGTCAGTCAGTTCCTCAGTTTTGAATTAACTATGCATTGAAGTGAATCTGATGAACACAATGATGTGAAAAAAAAGCAGTTGCTCTGAAACTGTGGAGTACATTACTCCCAAAATGGGTTTAAAATTTCAATCAACGCTTTCTCCAAGTGTTTAACCAATTACTTCCTGCAATTCAATTTCTGGCTTCTTTAAAAATTCTGTTGATATGAACTCCTTTCAATCACTTCTTGTAATACAAGTAGCTAAACAAATTACATTTAAATTATATTGCAAGTTTCTTTTTCCTTCAAATCTGACCAAGCAGGGTTTTAAAATAAACA